GTGCAGAAATATGACAAAGCCATTCGCCTGGCCCGGGCTTTGAGAGAAGTGCGAGTCGGGTTCATCCTGAATGGTTCTGGGACTGCTTTTGCGTTGCTCATTGCATTTTCGACGATCATCTCTGCGTTTACCGAGCCGGGATGCATCAATCCATCCAAGGACCCCCACGAAAAGCTTGGAGACCAATTCAAGAAGGATCTTGGTGGGTGGTGCAGCACCAAGAAGGCTGGGTCGATCTTCTTCTTGGGTGCCTTCCTGGTGTGGCTGGGTTCTTTAGCTTTCCTGTTTCGCGATTGGCGGTCCGGGAAGTTGCACAGCGGTGCACGGGACCCTCCATTCACGCACCCGACGCAGGAAGCAACTGAGTACGAAATGGATTATGACCCTGACGACGAAGAGTATCAACATGTATCGGGACCTCGCCAAGGCGGTGTATCGGGATCCCCATCCGCCTACGACCCTCCATCCAGTGCTGGAAACCCATTCTCCGATACCAACCGGTACTCTACTCCGGCACCCGCTGGACGACCGAGCATGGATGCATATGGAGCATTCTCTGATCCAGCGCCGTCGGGTTTCTCCCCAGCCGCGCCACGATTCGGCGGACCACCTGTGATCCCCGAGCAAGACCTGGGCCCACAGGTGAGTCGGACAATGCAATACGCCGACCCGTATGCAGCGGTCCGCGCTTCTATCCACAGTGGTCCCACTGGCAGCCAGCCGGCCAACTACGACAGCGGTTACACGGGCTATCGATGATTTACGACCGATATCATACATGTGATTTGCATAAATTATTCACAAAAAGTAATCTGCCGGAGGTCTCTTTGCTGGTGCAGAACGAACGTCGACTGGTGCATGTGAGAAGACCTTGTATTCCTGGCTTAGGTGTTCATCAAGCTCCAAAATAGAGGCGACATTTCCACATCTGTAGCAGTAGTTGGGCGCACTCCACACAGTCACTATTGTCCGGTCGAACATCAGCTTGTAGCCTTCCATGGCAAGCTGGTGCGCTCGCGCAATCAAGTCTAATCCATTGAGATGTGCAAATTGCTTGGTGATGTCTGCTCCAAAAAGATAGCCGGCACCGCGGGGTGACAGTCCCCAACCTTGTATGTCTATCTCACAAGTGAATAATGGAGCAGTCGGCGAGAATGAGTCACATACCATCTGGATCTGACCATAACAGGTCGCACATTGTGCCATCGTGTGGTACTTCCTGTTTTCGATCAATAGCTCGGATCTGGATGGCGGTAAGACAGTGTGGATTCCTCCCAGGTAGAACCCACCTGATCAACTGTCGCAAGATTGGGGCTCAATCCACCGTGGACACCCAAGACCCGTCCATCGACGATAGCTGCCAAAGCAAGATAATCGAAGACCTCACAACACCATCGCCAGACGTTGGTTCCTCCATACTTTCGTTGACACTCATCGTAGAATCCATACACCTGCGTTATTTGCCTTGACTCGTGGTTGCCTCGGATGAGCGTCATTCGTTCTGGGTATCGGACCTTAAGAGCGAGTAGTAGGAGAAAGGTCTCGACGCTGTAAAACCCCCGGTCAACAAAGTCGCCTACCAGACAGTAAGTGATGGGTTTGTATCACCCCAGATTCTGCCCCGTACCCATAAAAAGGTAGTTGGTGTCTGGACAGAACCCTCCGACAGAAAAGAGCTCCATTAGATCGAAGAATTGACCGTGGATATCACCACATATCTACGAAGAACGCGTCAGAATCGCGACAAAGAATGAGACGAAAAACGAGTACCGTCACGGGAGAGTCTATGTGTTGGACATTGGCCTCTTCGATTAAGATTTCGCGAGCTTTGACACACAGTCGTTTTACTTGTTCCTCTGAGATGGGCTCACAGCGCTTCAGCTTCTCGATCTGTCTGGTGAGTTCTGATTGAGTAGAGCAGAGAGAGAGGACATATCAATGTTACACACTCGTCGAGGTCACTGGACATTCGAGATAGTTTCGAGATAGTAAGTAGCAGTGCGTGCAGGTGAGATTGTTGCACCGATCACAGGAAACACACGTGACCTGGGGACTGATCTTGCCGTTCGGCGTCCCTCAGGCCAAGTCTCGATGGTTGATGGGTCCGACGCCCTAAGCTCCTCAACTGCGTCATATATCAAAGTATAAACTCTCTGGAGGATTTTAGGGTCACAGAAAATAGATTGACGGTCTTCTGTCGATTGCTGATAATATTATCCTGTACCTCACTCCAGTATAATGACATAATTCACCGGGCAAGTCGAATCTGTTTGCGCCTATCTGAAAGGGTCCGAATACAAGTTATACAACACAGTACCTCAAAAGACTGTGCGTGCATATTCATCATCGGTTTTTTGGGGGGTCCAGCTCTTGCAAGCTTGGGCGATTGTTCGGGTTTCAACATGCATAGCGCGGGTACTAGAAGTACCCATTCCAGCTTTAAAATCCTCACTCGACACAGCGAAAATGAAATCACGAATGCTTGACTAAATACAAACTTGTTCATGCCGTTTTGTCAGAAACACCCCCACCCATGCCCTCTTCAACAAGAGTGCCAACCCAATGTTCGAACGCAAGGGCATCAAAAACCCCATCAGTATCGAAAAAGTGCGAGTAAGCCACCGATGTCTGCGTCTTGCCTTTGGCGAGCAAGCTTTTGTTGGCAGACGTCGACCGCACATATGTTAGCGCCAGCGCGTATTGTGGAGGAACCGCTGTTGTGGACTTTGGAGGAATGGAGGCTGGAATTGTGCGCGATGACAGAGTTATCCTCTCAGTGACGATCTGAAGCGAAATGAGGTCGCGTCAATGATACAGTCATGACACGCACACGTTTAGAAAACGTTTTGCGTTTGCCGACAAAGACAATGTCCCCCTCGATGAAATAAGAATACAAAGTTTGCACGAAAGTGAGTAGCATGTACCTGGCGGAAAAGTCAGCGAACAAATAAGCAAGATAAACGGTGGGACGCACAATATCAGACCAGCCCAGACAACCGGTTTGCTTTGCTCGAACTCTACTTTGTATCCATACAGGCCGGTACCACCCGCCACAAATACACTCAGCCAGCCCAACGCCAAACGCACGTCAGTGTGCTGGTGGATTTGTTTGAAGAGTTCCGGTCGCGACAGACACTGGGACGCAATGAGATTGGCGATGAAGACAGAAGAAGGAAGCGAACTCGTTTCAAAGCATCATCGCAGGCGTTCTTCAACTCTGTCACGCTGAGGTTATTGACCTTGACTATTTCGCGCGTGCCAGCCAATGGAGGAAGGCTCAGGGGCCCCAGCGGCCGCTCTGAGTCTGGGGAGGGCGGTGACGACAGTGTTGAAGAGGCGAGCCCATTGCTGGACGCTGTGACGATGTCGGGGGTGCTTGGCTTCTTACGGGGCATTGTGAGAGAGGAAGTGCGCGACGTGTTCCCAATTGGGACACGTGCTGACAATTGTTTGTTCTGCGCTTGTTCGACTTGTGCTGTGTTCTCGCAGTCCACCGTTCCTAGGTTAGCATTGAACTCATCTTACCACCGCGATGGCGGACGCCGGTAAGAATAGGCTTGAGACGGTATACTCCACCCACTCACGTATTCTTTTGCTTATCCCTCCCAGGCTTTTTCAAGGGTACATCAGCTGAGCAGGACAGGCGTTTTGTCGACAAGGAGGCAAAGCTCCTCAGATCAACCAAATTTCCCGCCAACTTCGAGAGCAAGGTTCGTGGAGCCCTCCCTCTCTAGAAATTGTCTCATATATCTAGGTTGACATGCGAAAAGTGAACCTGAACGTCATCAGACCCTGGATAGCCAAAAAGATCGTAGAATTGGTCGGATTCGAGGATGACATCCTCATTGGATATGCTCTCGAACTACTGGACGAACCGGTGAATCATGACTCACCTAGGTATAACCGTCGCTGAAATCAGCACCTCAGGCTCCCGATCCTCGAAAACTACAACTCAGTCTTCAGGCCTTTCTCAACAAGGACGCCCCAACTTTCATGGCAGCATTATGGTCTTTGTTGATAGAGGCTCAATCAGAAGTCACCGGTGTTCCGAGAACATTCGTTGAAGAGAAAAAAGAAGAGTTGCGCAGAGCGCGGGAAAGCGACACAAGGACATTCGATGAGCGAGACCGACGCGCTCGAATTGATGAAGTCTCTGATAACCGACGCGCTCGAGGTGGATGGGGAGGTAGAGGTAAGGGACGGGGAATGGAGGAAGGGGGAGGAAGAGGGCGCACAAGAGATACGGGATGGGGTTCCAGAGGCGGTGGGGTACGTTGGCATCACTGTTTGTGTTCCAATTAACTGACGAATATCTCCTGACTTTCTCTAGCCTTCCCGGCGTTCACCAAGATCGGGCCGTCCCAGATCTAGGTCTATGCACCGGCGCTCCATGACGCCGCCTACTCGTAGATACCGCTCCCCATCTCGCAGACGCTCGATATCACGGGATATCAACAGTTCTCGTTCCCCTCCACCAATGCGACGTAGTCCTCCCCGCCGCTCCATGTCTGATACACGCTCTTCTCGCTCTCGTTCCCGGACACGTTCGCGGTCTCCTGTGGTTGGCCGACGCCGAGCTCGGTCGCGCACCCGCTCCCGCTCTGCCAACTCGGACACCTTTGATCGGAAACGTGATAGTCGTAGTCCTCCAACTCGTCGGCGTCGACTGTCTTCCTCTGCAAACGAGTACCAACCCAATACTGCATCGCGTCGCCACGTTTCCAGGTCTTCCAGCAGGAACTCAAGGCCCGCAGAACTCAAGATCAGAAGTCAGCCGCCAAAGTAGGCACGAGGTCACCCAGCGAGTGGAGCGAGCGAGCTCAAAGAGAAAGCTTTGCAAAGTACGTGCGTTTGTTACTAGTGAGAACGAATCGCACCCTGTTCACCTGAGTCACCCGAGCTGGAGCGTAGGGAGAGCGATCTGCTCACGTGCAGATGATCAATCCGTCTCGGTTGCGGAAATACTAAGTAAGATCGGGAAGTAAAGTCTACTCGGAAATCTCTAATTCCGCATATGTATGTAGAAAGATGTCCAGTCAACCCACGTTCAACCAACCAATCAAATTGTAGTGACGATATGTGCTCAAGGTAATATAGCTGCTGCACCTGTGCGAGGTTTGGAGGCCAATTCTTCCGCAACACGTCTTTCAGCCTCTTCCTCAGCCAATCGTGGTGCATCCAGCATCGCCTGTTTTGCCTCCTTTCTCGCCTGTTTTCTCTGCCCCGCTTCTATCGTTGCCTGTGCACGATCGACAAGCACAACTGGCCGAACTGCCGCCCTCTGTTGCTTCTTCACATCCCGTATCTTTCCAGGGTGTTTGGCTTTCCATTGGTCATACGAAAACCGAGGTTCAGGGCCAACGCTACGGGCAGAAATGCTCTCCTGCGCATTTTCTTGACCTGGAAAGATTGGCGCCCCAGTCCGTTCTACTTCAGTCAGCCAACGGAACCACGCAGGGGAACCTGCGGCATCCATGAGGCTGCGCACGATGGAGGTTGACCATTGTGCATGCAAATTCATTGTTTGCGTTTTGCCATCACCTAATGTCAGTTCAGCTAAAGTCTGGTACAGAAAAGAGGAGGCACACGGAAAGACAACTCAATCTCAGGCCTCCATTCATCTTGTGGTCGTTTGATTAGTTTGCGGACTTTGATGTCAAGGTCCGGGTTTGCAAAACGTATCCGCGGCAGCTGCTCCTTGAGGAAATGTCTGTTGTATTTCTCAGCATGAAGGGTGAATTAAATAAGACGCAGTGAGACTGACCGAGCGCCGAAGTGGTCATTGCGAGACGCGAGCGTGAGACGGAGAGAGGAGAGTTGGGGTAGAGTCAACCGCGGTTGGGCTTTGAAGTGATCCTCGTCAGTCCCCGATACTTGATTGGACAGAGGTCCAGACCTCTTAAATTGTTGACAATTGCCGAAAGCCTGGAGGGAGCTTCGAGATTGGCTCGGGGCATGACGAGGTAGGAGAAAGGACTAAGTGGAAAGTGCCAGTTCGGGCATCACTCCATCACTGGTAGCACGGGAGGGTCCGGCAAAGGCCGACGACTTAGCATGGTAAGAACTGTTTGCACTCAAATGGAGACGAATGAGTTGTTGCACATGCACCTACATACATAGCGCGCAGTACATATCAATCCCGATTCTTTCTATTCGCCTTCATATGGCCATTGGAAGCTGAGGTTGGAAGTAAAGCCTGACAGAAAATCGCGCGTTAGCGAGTGCTCGATGCAGAAATCAGTTTGCACATGTTTGATACCCCGACGCGCTCACTCTCGCGCCTCATGTCGTACGCGACTCAGGGCGCTCCGATGACCGGTGAGCAACCTCCTGACCCTGTCAAGGAGTCCCATCGTCTGTTGGCCATCTACCCTCTTGCTTCAGCCAATCCGTCTGCTCACGGTCCGTACTCCGCAATAATGAATCAATGTATTGTTCTCAAATACCCCAGTCACTCGACACCTGAGCTCTCTGACACTCAGTGGAGCACCTCCCTCTGCCCTTCAACCGCAGTATTACGCGCCTCATCCTCATGGCAATCCTCCACAGTACTCGCAATATCCTTCTGTAGTCGAATCTCTTGTGCGATCTGAAGGAGATGATTCCGGCTTTTGGGAGGCTTCGCGCGGAGAGGCGACGCATTATTTAAGTCAGCAAACTGAACCGTACGTTTCCCTCTTCTGATTGTTCAGGCCTTGGATCAACATGATTCCTTGAAAAGCTCCTATCCATATCCCTCTGCCTGGTCGCCTCCCAATGCGCAACTTTCGTCGTATCGGACAAATCCATTTGCTCAAGCCATTATCCAGAGAACTAACCCGGCCACTGCATATCCGACACCGCCGCCGCCGGCGACCTCTTCATCATCTCATGCCGGTGCACTTGGTCCCCCACCACCTTCGAACGGACACACGGTCTACAAGCCCCAACAGTCTACCGCCTTTTTTGAACACTTTCTCGAGGACCATGCTAGACGATTGGATCAGACTGTCGTCGCGTCCAAACCGCTCTCCGAAGCAGTATCGCAGTCCCATTTGGCGCCAGTCCGCCCCAAAACGCCCCAGACTCGAGTGCCAGCCTTAACAGATGAAAGTCCGGATCCTCTGGCCATCATCACTCCTGCTCTTACGCCCCGAAAGCGTAAATCGATGACGCAGCTTGAATCCCCTACTGTGAAGCGCGCGTTGCACTCACCTGCGCCGACATCTGTGCCAGCGACACCGAGCACAGGTCCACGGTCTCGATTTTCACCTTCCACGCCTACATCTGTGGTTTCAACGCCATCAAGACCACGGATGCAGATGCTGTACGTTGAGGTGCCGTCTTCGCCGTGGGCATCTCCCAACAAACGCCGTGCCCAATCGCCAGATGACTTAGGCGGATATGGATCAGACAGCAGTCCCCAACGACGCAGCTCCAGTGGCATAGTCACCTCTTCTCGACGCACCGGAGAGCATGATGAACGTGCCCCACTTGAGAAGCTCACCTACATCCTCGAAGCGATATTCGAAGCAGAAGATTCGCTTGCCCCAGATACCGAGCTAGCTTCCCTTCCCGATTTTTTCTCGCGCCAGACGACCGTCGATTGTTCTCAGCCCCTGCTCGCCACTACAACGGTCCGCAAACTAACGAAATACATCGGCCAGGTAGGGAAACCCACGAAACGCGTTCGACATGCCAATGCGACAAGCACACCGCGTTCCAGGGATCAAACGATCGCAGATATGGACACTGCGATATTGTCTCGTATTCTGAAGCTGCTCGAGCGATCAGTCAAAGCCGGCGAGGATATTGATCCGTTTGCGGGTCCCGTCGTGACACCGGCAGCAGCATCTCTTCCTAATAATTCCCCCAAGAAGCTAATCAAGAAGGGCAAGGCTAAGCAACGAGAGGATGAAATCGGGACCGCATTCAATGATTCCCCAGCTGCTCGAGTCGAGCTATCCGATCTGGATTATGCAATGCTCAGCCGCGCTCTAGAGATTGGAAAGGACAGCATCTTCGCAGTCCAATGCTGTCTCGCCTTGTTAGGTTCTGGACGTTTGACAAAGCAGGTTCGTTTGTGCTGGCCTTGTTGACACAAGCCGCATCTGGTCCTAACCTCAGAGCAGCTGTACTCGGAGGAGCTCATTACTTCATGCATGAATGCTGTCAAAAACCAGCTCACAACAATCATCTATCCGTTCGTAGAAGTTGCAGCTGGATCGGGCGGGATACCAGGCTCGGCAGGAATCAGCGTGCAGCTTGATCACGTTGTGTGGCAGGGCGCTCATCGACATGTGTTGAGCGAGCTTTTCCAGGTGATATCGGCTGTTTTCCCGCAGCTGAGCTCACTGGTCGATGCGGACTCGGTGTCCATGTCAGATAACATCATAATCCAGTCGGTTTATATTGCCATTGGACCTTTCTTTGTAGCGGATTCGGGTGAAGATGGAAGTGGGAAGAAGGAGAAGGATAGTGCGATTGTGATCAGGACCTTCGGAAAGAGTGCAATGAGAGGGTTGAGGTTGCATGCCTTGTCGTTGATTCGAGCGGTCAGCATGTCCATCGATTTGGCTTCCATCTCTGACACCTCGCAGATCTTCGCAAACCATGGTGATCAGCGGGACTGGATCATTGAAGAGATCTTGACATCGCTCATCAAATTGTCCGACTCCAAGCAAAGGGCTGGCCAGTTTCGGTGTGTGTTTGTCTGAACCCGGCTGGGAACGTAGGCTCTGACCCATCCAGACTGCGAGACGGTCGGACAATCAGGACGGTTTCCGCTCTGTTACTGCAGCTCGTTCAGACTTCGGCGCATGACGTTCGGCTCAAAGCACAAAACATTGCACAAGAACGGCGCAACAAGTTTGCTTTGAAACGGGCAGAAAGTCTGACTGAGAGTCAACTTAAACTGCATCAGCAGGAAGAATTTCTGGATGAACAAGACCATGCTGAAACGCGCTTGTATCGGTCTGGTCTTGAATCAGCCACAAAGGCCGCAAAACAAATCATCGCTTTTTTGACACAGCGCTCAGGGAAAGGGAAAGCCACGAAAACGAGCAACGAAGCCGAGTATCGTGGAATCTTTGATAATCTGATTTCTGATCTGCTCGCGGTGCTGTATTGGCCCGAGTATCCTGCTGCCAGCTTTATCCTGAACATTGTGACGAAGTACATGGTGGCCGCGTTAGAGGATGTCAAGACTTCCGGTGACGCGAATAATGCGGCCAAGACAATGGCTCTGGATCATCTGGGCATTATTGCAGCAAGGATCCGCTGTGGGGTGCTCAAATTTGCCGATGCTGCCAAGCCCCTCAAGTCGATTGATCGCGTAAGTTGTAGCCGGTATAGATGCACATGCCTCCTAAAGCACTATTGCAGATCACGTCCACCCTTGAGATCAAGTCGCTGGATCGGCTTTTATCTGCACACCAAGACGTATTTGCCCATCTCATCAAACGGTCAGAAGAGGAGCAAGCCTATGCGGTACGTTTCTTCCTTGGATATCTGTGCGAGCTTCCAACACCCACCTCTAATAGAGCGCTCGAGAGCTCACGGCCGCGACGTTTGCGCAAGAACTGTCAGTCGCTCTTGAGAAGGTCAATCTGTGGATGATTAGCGATGGTGAGGGGGCCATTCGAGATGAAAGCAAGCTCAAGGCGTTCGGGGAGAAACTCAAGTCGGCCATGCATAACGTGTGGAAAGATCAGGCGCAGGATGTGTTTGATGTTGGGTAAGCCTGTCGAGCTTTCTCCCGTTGCGAGGCCTGATTGGCGCAGTTCCCAAGAGGAGGTTCAACGCATTGATCGTCTTTCGGAAGAAATCGGTTCGATTCAGACGCTTCGCAACTCATTCCAGCCGATTTTGAATGTAATCTTGTCTGCACTAGACGCGCCGGCGATCTTCATGCGAACCAAAGCCTTGCGTGCTTTGGGCCAAATTGTTATGAGTGATCCGACCATTCTCGGTGAAGCGAGCGTGCGGCGGGGCATCGAGCGTCCCTTGCTGGATAGCTCATCTGCTGTGCGGGATGCGGCGGTCGAGCTGATCGGCAAATACATGATCGACTGGCCCCAGGTCGCAGGCGATTACTACACGAAAATCGCGGACCGCATTGCGGTAAGTGATACCTTCATTGCCTCGTAAGAATGCGCTCGACCAGTCTGCAGGATACAGGATTGGCAGTCCGCAAGCGCGTCATCAAACTTCTCAAGACTTTCTATGGAATCATCACTGATACGGAGCGCAAGGTGGATATATGCACTCGACTCGTCAAGCGAATGGCAGATGAAGACGAATCGGTCCAAGAACTGGCGAGCAAAGCCATTGAGGAATTGTGGTTCCCTGTGACGCTTCCCTCCGCACTCAAATCTCGAGCCTCAATCTCAGGCCAGGATAAGACCGCCCTGTTGTCGAAAGTGGTTGTGATCATGGGCACATCGGCTAATTTCAATGACCGACAGTCTCCTTTGGAGGACATCTTACATCAGATCATTTCCGGAAAGCAGGGCACCGAGGCTGCAGGCCTCCACGCTCGCTATTCGGAGATCTGCGAGACCCTGATCGATGGTCTAGTTGACGCTTCCGATCTGCCTGGCTTTGTGAGTGTCTCGTCGATGTGAGCGCATGAATCTTGGTCGACTGACTGCATAGACTGTGATCAATTGCGTGCGAGCAATCTATTTATTCACTGCATCATATCCGGCTGTTCTCTCCGACTCGAATGCGTCCACGCTATTGCCATACTTGAAGTCTGCATCCACATTAGAGGAACAAGCGACGAGCGAGTACCTGCTCAAGATCTTCCGGACATCGCTGGGTCATCTGCCGAAGACGGCGCTCAAGTTCGGACAGGAGTTGCAGGCTGCTCTGCAACCGATGATCATCAAGCCATCGTCTATAGGCGGCTTGCAGGGTCTGCAGGAAACTGTGTCTTGCATGTGCACAGTAGTGCAGATGTTAACACACGATTTCACGAGGCTTGTAGCGCTGCTGAAGTCGTGCAACAGTGTGTATGTTCTATTCCGTTTTCCTCTTTCTCAACTTTCGCTAGTGCGTGTACAGCAAAGCTTGAGACAACTCGAGGCTGGCCGACAATTGGCGCCCGCAGATCTGCGAACGCTGGGGATCTTAGTTGTCATCGTATCTCTGCTTGGAGAGCACTTCGACTTTGAGAAGGCTCGCGAGAACACGCCCAGTAAGCCATTTTTTTTCGTCCGTCACGCCAGCCCTGACGTTCGTGTGAAGGCATCACGAATGATTTGCACGGCATCAGTGGACAATATACTGTCGTCGAGCATATCTACGATACCTTGCTTCGGATTTATGCCAGATGCGAAGATGCCTCTCTCAAGGGTCGAATCCTTCAGTGCCTTGGATTCTTATTCCGAGCCCAGCCAACGCTGATGACGACAGAGCGGTCTGCGGCAGTAATGGATGATATCTTCTCGTCATCGGACGAGGAGCGACGTGGGCGATTACTCAAAATCATCCAAGATTTTCTCATCTCGGAGGCGATCAAACACTCGAGCAAACTGAAGGATTCCGCTTCTCTCAAGGCCAAGGCCAAGGCCGGGGCAGTGGACATGGATGAGTTGGTCGGAAATACAGATGGCTTTGCCGACTCGGGGTACGTGGCGTTGCCCATCGCCCAGCCATGACTCAGACCTGGGACAGTGTGAGTTCTGCAGTTGTACAGCGCTACATGCAGCACATTCTAGACGCTGCATTAAGCCAACACCCCGCTATCCAAGCTGCCGCGGTAGATGTATTGACTTTCACCATCAAACAGGGGCTGGCGCATCCGTTGCAGTCGTTTCCGATCATCGTCGCACTCGAGACTAGTCCGAATCCAAATCTGGCGAGCAGAGCGGGGGCTTTGCACGCTGTTATGCATGAGAAGCATGCTTCACTCCTCAACTCACGCTTCGTGTACAGTGCCAGGATCTCATTCGACTACCAACGCAAGATCAACGAGCGGGGGCTTGTTTGCGGATCACGCAAGAATGTTGCGCTGTTGCACCCGTGGTACTCGCTAGTTAGGGAGAAAAGAGCACCTCGACAAGAGTTTCTCCGATCTCTGCTCAAGGCATTCCATCTTCCCAAAAGTGATGAAGCGACCCAAGACGATGTTGACTTCGTGCGGTACATGGCAGAGAACTTCGCAGCACTGGATTACAAGACACAGGAGGAGCCCATCACCGTGATCAAAGAGTTGACCGGTGTTTTGTCGACCGAAGGAATGCGGCTAGTCGAGCTGGTGTCCCCTTCCAATCTGCTTACACAGCTGAGAGGGGAGGTCGCATCGGATGCCATGGATGTGGACGTTGACCGGGCACCGCTGATGAGGGCTACTGTGGTCATTTGCATGGTCATGATGCTCAAGACGTTTCTCAAAAACATATACTCCTTGTCAGAGGAGTGCGTCGACTTGATCCTTGCCCATCTGGGCCTCCTGACTTTTATTTCAGAAAATGCTCCAAGTTCGTTCTGGCAAGAAGAGTGCACTCGGAGATAAGCCGGCAATGAGGAGACCCGAGCTGTCCTTCACTTGGGATCGCCTGAACTATGCTACTTCGCCCATCTTGACCACCGCCGATGCTGATGCTCAGAAAGCTGCTGTTAGTATTTGTGATCTAATGATTGGTATGGGGACTCATTGTCTTCAGTTCATCGGGATCTGGAACGAAGATGGGATTACTGCTGAACCGGAGGACGAGTTGGCGTGAGTAATGTGCTGTATTTTTAACACTGCTGTCTCTTGTTGTCGAGCACTTGCTGGACTTCCATAACTTATCCTGCATGTACCCTGTAGTGCTACTGTGATTTCTAATGCTGTTCGCTATGATACATAGCCAAAACTATCTCCGAGTGAAAGGTAACTGGAACCCGGACAATAACGCACGCGCTCGGTTCTCGGCACCAACCCCAGTCGCGTTGGTGACAAAATGGATGTGCATACCATAAGTTCTCGGATATGCATCAACATTGACCTCGATTTGCGGGAAGAAAGCCATTGCTGCAGGACCAAGCCCGATCGACACAACGCCGGAGACGGCACTAGGACTGTTCTGCGAGGTAGATGGCGGCGGGAGGAGGACACCAGGAAAGTCTTTCAGGCGAGGCAGCACAAACTCGACGAGTTGTGCGAGAAAGTCGTACATGTGGGCACCCTTCAACTCCACTTTCGCACCTACAGGCACACCGGGCCTGATCCATCCTCCCACAGATTTTTTCCCGTGCACAAGCTGCACACCAGACACGGCATGTCGCCCGGCAGCTTTCTCGGTCTCCCCTGAAATGGCTCGCAGGGCCATGATGAGTCCGAGGAGGTTGGACCGCTGCCCGATGGCCTGCTTCATGAAGGAGTGGATCACAATCTTTTCCAGGCGCACGACATTTTCGGCCGTGTCAGGTGGTGGCGGCTTTTTCCCCAACTGTGACCCACCGACGGGGGGATTGTGTCTGAAGCGCGAGTATGGATTAGATGGGTCGTGGGTCAGACGGATTTGGCGTGGCGGAGGGCGCGGACCAGATTCGTGGATGTAGGTCATGTACATGGCGTTATCCTGCACTGTCGAGTAGTAGTGGTCCTCCACACGATTTGGGGCATATTCTCGGCCGAACACTCGGACGTGCGGGACAGGTAGACGCGTTCGCCAGTCTCGTCGCAATGGTTTCCTGATGGGTGGAGGGCGCCCAAAGCGCGTCAAGGACCGCGCAACTCGTTGAGCAGGGTGGGACTGCAAGGAATTCCATCAGTGTAAGCTCGTTGACCAACTTCGAAAGACCTCTACCATCGTTCGAATGAAAAGTCAAGTGCTTGAAATTTGGCTCACGTGTGAGGCGTGATGCCATTGGTCACCCGAGTTCGGCATAGCCACACCCGCATCTCATGCTTCCCCTCCGCTCGCTGGCGACGCGCCCTTTGCGGCGACTTGGCCCGCGTGCCCTCTCGTCCAGCTCGCTCACTCGCTCCCAGGCTACTTCAGGGACCTACCATGTTGTTGATGGAGGCGTTGACTCAGATTCCAATGTCGTAGTCGAGGATTATCGCGGAATGACGGCACAGGAAATCTTCAAGGAGACTGGCAGCACCCGAACGGATAACAAACTTAGGCATTTCACAGGCTCGTCTTTATTCTACTGTCCCTTCGTAGGCTGACCTTCTACAGTGAATTTTGGGTAGGCATTGCTCGGTATGATTGGACCACTGCTCACTCAACCTACTCTCTAGTCCTCAACACCCGGCAGCGCACGGTGTGCTCCGTATGATCCTAGAGCTGAATGGAGAAGAAATTTTACGTGCCGATCCGCACATTGGACTGCTGCACCGTGGAACAGAGAAACTCATTGAGTACAAGACGTACACTCAGGCCCTTCCCTACTTTGACCGCTTGGACTACGTGTCTATGAGTAAGCCAGCACTTATTCTACCGCTTTTTTTCGAGTCTCACTTTGCTCGGCTCAGTGACCAACGAATTGTGCTACTCTCTCGCAGTGGAAAAGCTCTTGAACATCGAGGTCCCAGAACGGGCCAAATGGATTCGCACCCTTTTTGGCGAGATCACCCGCATTCTAAACCACCTTATGGCTGTCTTGACACACGCCATGGATGTTGGAGCGCTAACACCCTTCCTATGGGGTTTTGAAGAACGTGAAAAGCTCATGGAGTTTTACGAGCGTGTCTCTGGTGCGCGACTGCACTCGGCCTATGTGCGACCTGGCGGTGTTGCTTTCGATCTCCCCCACGGTCTGCTGAATGACATCTTCCTGTGGGCAACTCAGTTTGGATCCCGTGTGGACGAAATCGAGGAGGTCGTGACCGGGAACCGAATCTGGAAAGAGCGGACCGTTGGTGTCGGTGTTGTCACTGTCGAAGATGCCCAGAGCTATGGATTCAGTGGGGTGATGGTCCGGGGCAGCGGCATTCCCTGGGATATCCGCAAGGTAGATGGGTATGATGCATACGACCAGGTCGAGTTTGACGTTCCCGTGGGCAAGAACGGGGACTGTTACGATCGGTATCTGTGCCGTGTGCAGGAAATGCGGGAGTCTTTGCGCATTATCAGCCAGTGTCTGAACAAAATGCCGCCTGGTGCCGTCAAGGTCGATGATCACAAGCTTGTGCCTCCGCCGAGGGCCTCTATGAAGGAGAGCATGGAGAGTTTGATCCACCACTTCAAGATCTTCAGCGAGGGCTACACCGTGCCCCCCGGTGAGACGTACAGCGCCATCGAAGCTCCCAAAGGCGAAATGGGTGTCTACCTGGTTTCCGATGGCACCAACCGTCCCTACCGCTGCGCCATCCGGGCTCCCGGCTTTGCACACCTTGCTGGCTCCGACTTCATGATGCGTCGTACGTCCCTTTTATCCACCCATCCGTTCTAATCGACTCATTGCGGTACTCGTTTTCGCAGATGTGCGTTACGCTGACTGTCCAAATCGTCTTACTGAATTCTCCGCAGCACTTCCTTGCCGATGCCGTTGCCATCATCGGAACCATGGTGAGTGGAGGAGCATTTGTTCTGGAATGACTGAATGCTGATCATGTTTCCAGGATCTCGTGTTCGGGTATGTTCTCGCTAACATCAGAGGGCGCAGTGCTGATCCCTGCACACAGAGAGGTAGATCGATAGTCGCCGTTTGCAAATACACAAGCATGGCCGGTAATTCTACGATCATGTTTGCACAATGTAGAGCTCGTGTCTGTTCCGTGCCTGACCAAGGACATGCAAAAGATTTGTTTTGTTCACTCGTTGGTTTCGTTTCTTCCATTTTCAGCGTCCTGTCACAGAGAAGGCTTATCCAGTCGTTATTTTGGAATTATTCTGGTGAAGTCTTCAAGAACCCTGACTGCTAGGGAATTAGTATTCGCGACAAAGTGCGTGATACGTGTTTTCAGATCAATCCAAGGGATTGAAACAATCGCGGCCTGGACACGCTCTCCGCCCGAGTAGATGAGGTGGAGTTGTGAAACAGTACGATGCAAGCCAAGTCTCGAGCTGTTCCCAGACTTCGAGACTGGATCGATATCTGAATGACTGCGAGTCGGCTTTTCGTCCGCTGCCTCGATCCTGATATGACGACACCCTCCACCTCCAGGTGTAATGCCTGCGGATGCATCATCAACGGAGCATGATAATGCGGGCTTGGTCGCGTCTGCTCGGACCATTCGTCCGTGTGTTGACTGTGGACGATTCGAAGATTCGAACCACCCTCAAGTCCTTTGACTGCATCTCGTGCGTCGCTCGGACTCTCCCGAACCCTTCCCTTACACTGCTTAGCCTGCTGTGCCTTGCGCGAAGGTCGAAGGCAGCAGTCCCTTCTGGAAGGACTAATTCGTCTTTCTTGAAATCCCGCCGACGGTTGGCCGCTGATAGTTGTCTGAACGATATCCGCAAATTCCATATCAACTACTAAACTATGGAGAGATTGAATCAGATGCTCAAATTTCCAACCAAAATGCCTTCTGCAAATCAAGCCGCGCGAGACATAGCGAGTGAGGAGCGGGAATAGGGATACCGATGCCGATGTGAATGTGAATACAAGAAGGTACAAATAATGATATCTTCACTTGTCCAAGAAACGAGGGGTAACGACCACTTACAATACAGTGGATAAGTCCGAGGAGAAAGAAACATCTATGTGAGTAAGAATCACAGCAAGGTATCGTGTTCATGGCGAACGGGTGTCCTGGCCCCCTCCGGGTCCTCTTCTTCTTCATCCAGCGGGCCACCAGCGTGACGAAGTTCTTTGCGGAACGCCTGGGCCATGATAGCAGCATCCGCACCCGAAAACGCTCGGGTCAGCGCCGAATCGGGTGAGGTCGTCCGCTGAGAGTGCCCGTGAGAGAGCGACTGCGACGTCCGGTGCCCATGTGAGGTGGTGCTCGATTCCCGCGCCAGTCGATTCCCGCCACCTGCACCAATAGCGCCACCGACAATGGCTTCGTCTGCTTGCGCCATATCAGGGCCCCCAGACAGCGGAGAACCTGTTTGAGAGTACGGTCCGCCCCGGTGTCGTTCCCGCTCTCGGAGATAATAGATGCCAAAAAGCATCAATGCCACGACCGACACCAATAGGACGAGTCCAACAACGATAACCCCAATCGCCCAAGACGGGAACGGATCGCCGGTGCTGGCCTGGACGGATCCAGTGACCAGGCCCCCTGTCGAGAACCCCCGGCAGCACTTGTGGTCGTTGTAGCTGTCTGATGGGCCAGGGAAAGTGAAACCGACGCAAGGGAAGCCGATTTGGAGGCAAGAGACGCAACAGAAGAACTAGATAGCATGGATGAAACAACAGAGTCCGCGAACGTGGTTTCTGGCATTGCTGTCAGGACCCAAATCCCGGAATCACAATGGAAGACGTACGAACGGCCGAAAAAGTGGCCTGGGGTCTCTGTAGACCATCTGTGAGACTCTCCCCCGCGGGCTGGATAAGCCAGTAGAAGGGATATGAAATGTTTTGCTGTGTAGGTCGCGCATCAGAGATGAAAATGGCGTTTCACATCGGCAACGCACCCCCGCCCAGTTGGATCCTCGGGTTCCCCACCATGAATCGTTGACCTGCGCAGTGACAGAACCAGCTTGATTCTTCGGGTTGACAAGATTGGGTATCCGAAAAATTTGCTGTAACGAGTCTCCGTGGAATAGGTAGACGTCGACACGGTTACTCTGAACAAAAAGTGGATTGTTTGAGTTCCCTAGAGGGCCGTGAGCAACTGGTTACGTTGAGAGGATCGCCCGAACGCACAAACGAAAGTAGCCCATTGATGCTGTGGTATGACGATGTCAGCAGTCGGGAAGCACGACATGACCTCATTCCCAGAGAACGTTTCGCATTGTGTCTTGGCAGCCGCTGCGTCGGGCAGCCTTAGCTCAAGCCATAGGAGTGAAAAGGCCACTCACCGACGGTGCTCTGGTCCGCTACGATCTGTCGTGCAAGCTTGGACTTGGACGTCCCGACACGGAGCCTGTAAGCTGCATCCCGCGGTGAAATGGCGCCGGCCTTGCTTGCGGCCCTCGGTTCGGGTGTACGCTCTGGCCAAGGATCTCGCAGCACAAGCGAGGCGGGCATGACCCGGGGGGTCGAGGACCGTGACTGGGTAGCTGACGGTGGGAGGAGAAAAGCGAATACTTGTTCCGCGGTTAGATCAGGCCGCTATAGGAAACGATCGCGTGGTCGGCGTCACTCAAAGTGTCATCGAAGCAGGAACGACCTTCAAAAGGCACTCTGAGGCTCACACTACAGTGGAAAACCCACCGAAATCTCATGAGATCATCTTCCGCATTCTCTATATGTAACGAACTAGACAAAAAAATTCCGCTATCCATATAGTCCTATATGAAATAGGCATAGATAAGTGGGAGAGAACTTATCGCGATGCGGCATGTAATGGATGATTAAGAATGGGCTGGGTGAAGACCAGCGAATGCGGGCCTGGGACCTGCATCCGGGGCACCATCATGGGAACGGGGGGGAAGCTTGCCCATGGGTCCATGGGCAACAAGGGCAGTTGAGCTAAGGGGGCTGGTCCCAATGTCACAGGCACATGGTCTTCAAGTTGTGAACTGAGAACGCCAGGCGCGGATTCCGACTGAGTGGCAAGCGATGCCTGCAATGGCGCAGGATCCTGCGACGGTGGCAGCTGTTGCTGCTGTTGCTGCGGCGGCGTATCCCTGTCCTTCAAGCTCTTCTCCACCGCATCCTCCAATTCCTCATCATCCGTATCACCTGAAAAAAAATCCGCCAGCGCCCTCAACCTTAGATTCTTGTCCTCTTCCACATGCATCAGTCGCCTCTTCTCCTGTAGGCACCAAGGGAAATCGTGGTCTGGCCAGTTCGGCTGTGACGGCACCTCCTCGTACACCATATCCCGCTCCTTGCGTTCCCTTTCCCGCATCGCAAAATCTGCGGCAGCTTTCCGCTTCCGCCGTTCTTCAGCGGGCCGTCGGGCTGCTGCAGCAGCAGTGACCTCCGTATACAGTCCGTTCGTCGGCGTCTCATCGAGAATGACCCGGCCGATACCCCTTAGCTGACCGATATATAGCTTCTGAGGGACGCCCACACCACCGTTTCGGAATTTATCAAGCCGCGCCTGCTTTCGTCTCTGCTTCTCAGACATGGGCGGCGGTGGCAGCTCGAGTTTCGGCGGCGGTGGCTTGGATGAGGGGCCGGGGACGGCAGGGGCAGGATGTGGGAATGGGGCAGTGACTTGACCCGCAAACTGTGGTTGGCGAATCCATTCTGAGGTTTTCTGCGGTGAGTCGGGTCAGTCAGCGCTTACATTGACTGTGGCAGACTTTAAAACGTACGTAGACACCATACCCTCCAGCCATTAGGCTGGCCTCGAAACTTTCGGCAGACGTCTCTTGAAACGACGGACGACTCGGGCTGTGCACTGCCGCAGGATGGGTGCGAATGGGACTGTGCATAGCGGGTAGTGGATCGTGGCAGGAGGGTCGGATTGTTGGGGGGTGGTTGCCCCATCACGTGGCCGTGGCGGAGACATTCACGTGAACATCCGATATATATCGATGATCATTCTTGTGTTTCTACCACGTACATAGTCCGTATCAAGATCCAGCTTGAACATTTTAATCGCATACGCATCCTTCTACAAATGCAGCTAGAACTGTGCCGGATATCCACAGTGCCTAACGAGATGGCTCATGTATCCTCTCAACCGTTAAACCCTGAGGTGTGATGCTTGCAGCAGACTCGCTCTCTGATTTCTCCAGGCCTCGAGGACCGCTCGCCCGGATTCAGGTTCGATCTCTGTGCCATCACGCGAGATCTTTACTTCCCGGTCCTGATTCCATGGATTGTGGATCCGTTTCGTGCGTGAAAACGGGAGCCGATCCACACAGATCCAATGCAAAGGAAAGTCGTATTCTGGATCCCCCTCGATCTCCTCGAGTAAGGCCGGTGGTAGAAACGTCTCCGGAGGGGGAAGCTCGTGAGTGGAGCTGTATGTGACCACGGGCACGTCAGATCCCGTCGTGTGAATGTGAGGAGTGCGGAGCGTGATCGGACCCGTCATTCTGTATGATGCATTGACCGCTGAGCATGGCACACACACATCCGCACGTACCGGCCGTATCCATAGAATTCCCCGCTCTTATTTACGCTGAAGAAAAGAATAACTTCTTCCGACGTTCGGAAAGCACGATCGAGGACCTCGGCATTGTGCTGCTGGGCATTCCACTGTCCTGTTTCAAGACTGATATCCAGATCATCCTGGATATCCTCGGTCAGCCGAAAAGTTGGCACGAAGCAGGATGAAATAACCGACCTGCGTGTACGACTTGAGCATGAAGAATCGCTGCGGAAAGTGCTCTCTCAGAAGGCTAGATGATGTCGAAGCATTGGAAACCGTATCCCAGGTGTCGTGACCAGGATCGTCACCTGAGGTCACGGTGAGGGGCGCCTCGACTGTCCGATGTCGGGTCTTATCTTTGATCCACTTTGAGTGCAGACCAACTCCCCGCTGACCTCCCACTCCAGTCAACAGGTCGTGCTCCTCCTTACGAGCACGGCAAAGAAGCGGCTTTGAGGCTTTGCCGCTCATGGTCCTTCCGATGGCGGCGGCGTGTTCAGCAGACCGCAAAGGCAGGCCATTAAAGCGGCTGATGGCTGCAGCCAGCTGGTCCTCCGCGTTGTAGTTGACGAACGCGCAATTAGAGCGCGCCACGACGAAGACCGATTGGACTCCGTTATTTAGAGCTCCGCGAGTCGTGCGATTCCCGTCCGGTTGAGTAAAGAAGCGCCAGAGTTCATGGTGATCCGCATCCCGGGGTATGTTCCCCACCCACATTGCCCACTGGGATCGTTGGGCTGGGGCCGCTGGATGGTATGAACGTCGCACCACGGGTTGCGACGACGAGAAATTTGGTGCGGAGCGTGAAGATGGCGATGCTGACATGGCTTCGCGCGATGACCAGCTGGGGCGCATGTAACAGATGGACCAACAGTCCGTGCACGTCCCTGGACCCAGGGGCTGCCAGTAGTCACTTCAATGATAAGATCAGCTCTTCAGCCCATGAGAGACTGAGCTACTTGCGAGTTCAAAATCTATGAAGCGGGGATGGGACTCGACAAGGGTTTCGGAATGGTGCCCTGGGAAGACGACCGATCGGATTGGGGATTTTGATCCGATCTAAGTAGGTTGCATCACCTCAAAAAGGAAACGGCCCCAGGCCGAGGTGGTCAACCGTTACCGTCTCGAGATACCTCGGCCTTCGGGTAGCACTAGTTGGACCAGATGATCCTACAGTCTTATCTGAAACAATTTGGAAGCTCAACGGCCCACGTTGTATTGCCTGTGATTTCTAATAGAATGTACGTATTACACATAATGATAATTTACCCGGCCGTAGAACACAAGGTCCCAACCTCCTGCATCAGCGCCTTCACGTCTTGCTTCTGCACACCGGAGCTCTTCGTGAGAACAATGTCCCGGGCGCCCAACACCTCGGCTAAGGAAGTGACCTCGCCATCCACAGGCCCGTACCTCAGCAAACATGCCAGCGCAGCCACCAGCCGGTGGAGGACTTCTTCTGCAGTCTCCCGCTGGATGGCCTCGACCAAGGCACTGGTCAACTCGACCTGCCACTCCTCGTCGGCTGCCATTGCTGCATCTGCTGCATCCAGCTTACCCAACGGCTGCGCTGCACCACCGAGACCCAGCCCGCTCGCTTGTCGATGCCTCTGAGCGCTAGCAGCCACATTGAAGGCGAGACTCGCTGCAGCCGTTCGCACAGCTGCATCCACATGCAGCAACGCAGGAACGATGATGATCACAGCGGATCTTCCACTCCGGCCAAGAGAAGCCGTCCCAACGCAGAGTTTCCGAATGCATTAGTCAAGAGTCGAAGAATCGTCAGCACATAATTTCGCGCGCCCTTCTCTTCAATCGACAAACTCAGAGCATCATCAGCTTTGCTCATGAGAATGCCGATCGGGCCAGCATTCGGAGTCTCCGCGAGCCATCTGGAAACAGCAGGATCGAGGACGGCTAAGCGCCACATGTCTACAAGCGGAAACAGCGATTCGGTCGGCAGCGCATTGGAAAACACAGCGGTCGCTGAAGCCCAAGCGACTAGCATGGTGTGGGTGGCAGACGGCAACTGCGTCGGCTTGACAGAAGCAGCGGCCGCAAACCGGGCCTTGAGATACGGTAGCACTTGAGCGCGCAAAACTTCTCTGGCTTGAGCAGTCGCAGCCGATGGTGAGGCATCGATCAGCGTAGTCAGCTTAGCAAAGACTGCATCCAATGCAGGGCTTTGGGTAAATAAGATCGGCGTGAGCGATAGCGCTTTGACAGCAGGGAGGGCGAGAGATGAGTGGGGTGTGCTGGTTATATGAGACCCTGGACTGTTGAGAAACGATGGTCACTCACGCGGATACGCCTGAAATAACAGCAGATCGATCTGTGTCCTTAGTTCAGCTTGGTCGGCACCTTTGAGCTCAGATATCTGCCGAGCGGTATGAGTTGATTTTGATTCGTCTGAAACGGACCTCTTCCGCACCTTCTTGCCGTCCAAAAAGAACATGAACGTCGGAGTCACTCTCACCCCCCATTCCCCAGCCAAACTTCCGCCCATCCCGACCCTCAGATCAATCTTCGTAAAGGCGGCGCCCCGCCCCGCACTGCCACTTCGCACGCCTTTCTCCAACGCAAGACTCTCGAAGACAGGTGCGATCATCCTGCACGGTGCACATCCCTGATAGTCCGTGAAGAAAGCCACGACGGCTTTGTGTGTCTGCAGGAGCGATCGAAAGGACGCCGAGTTGCTAACGGGATGCAGCGGGGCAGCCAGACTCTCGGTCGCGGCGAGCGGTCGCGGTTGGGGAATTGGTGTGGGCGCTGGAGCTGCTGCTGTTGAGGAAGTCGATTGTTGCTGGCGCTGGGCCTGAGCCGCCACAGCCTGAAGCAGAGACATGGCTTCTGGTTGTGGTACTGAACGAGAAGGAGACAAGGGCGCGGCTGGTCCGGGACGTCGGTACATAGCATCAATAGTCGGCCGAAGGGCAGCTCCGAAGGGCGTTGACAGAAAGTCCGTAGGCAAGTCTGTAGAGGTGGACCACATTCGGTGAGATATTTGCCACATAGAGAGGTGAGTGATGACCCGCCTGTCACAAAAGAAGGAATTGATTCGCCAGTGAGAAAGCCCGCGCAATCGTTGGTGAATGAATTACAGTTGAAATCTTAGACAATCCGCTTGGTTTCAAGACAGACACTCCGTTAGAGTAAAGATCTTACCTAGAAGATGATACTGTCAATATCTCATTGTCAGTTCAAAGTTTCCTCGATGTATGGCCGCCACACATACCTTGTCCGCGGTGTAATAGTCCCTCATCTCGTCTAGGTACTCTTGCCACGTCGCCTCATCTATAGCGGTCTCTCCGATCTCGACAATCTGCATCGGCTGTCCGTGATGGCTCGTTCCCGGCGCAGCAATACTGATTCCCTGCCCGTACCACACTTCCTTTCCGAACACGACGATCGAAGTATGCCATATTCCGTCGATCTGGCGTCCGGTAAGCTGTTGGGACAGTTGTTTCGCGAGGCCATTCGAGAGGTCGTAAACGTATAGTTTCACAGTGCTCATCAGCGTTGCAGGAGAGGAATGGTATGTAGTCAGTTAAGTCCGCCGGAATACGAATGCTTGATGGGTGGACGCGTCATTGACAAATGAGCGCACGTGACAGGGACGACATTTGTGTCCAATGTACTCATCACTGCGAGCAAGAAATTACAGAGATATAAAATACAGGATACAAGGGATCATGCAAAGTTGTTATCCACATCAGCACTGTCTTCACCCGTCTCCAGGTTGGCAAACTGAAGGCGAAAGCTGAGTCAGCACAGCCGAGGACTGAGGAGGAAGAGGGACTGACACTCAAGAAAGCTGCAGGCCTGTGCTCCTCGGCCCAGAACAGCAGGGGCGTGTCGATGACCATGGCGTAGGGGATATTGGGCGTCCACATCTGAGTCAGCCCGATGCCGTAGTTCCACACGTTGCCCTCAGGAACAAGAGTCATACCCAGGATGCGGTCGGACAAGAGCAGCTGCACGCGCTCAGACATGTTCGGATTGAATCCCGGGGGATTGGACGAGTTGTCCGGGTTCTTCCGGCCCCATTCGAAGCCCGGGACGGTCAGGGAGTGTGCCGAGAGCGAGACGGAACCGGGAGTGAACGAGGCCGTGAGACAGATCGAGGAGGAGCCCATCTGAGGGTGCTCAGCCATGATCTTCGCCTGCGTCGTGACATCCGTCGGGGACAGATGGTTGATCTCCAGCGCCTGAGTCTTGATCCAGCCGAGAAGCTCCAGGTCCTTGAACAAAAACTCGTCCTTCGGCAGCTGAGAAGGAAGCTCGACGCTGTTGTTGCTTCCACGTTGCGGGACCCATGCAATCGCCTGGGAAGTCTTGAGCAATCCGAGTGTGACTCGGTCAGGGACAAGCACCGACCTTGATCTCTTTGACCTGCGGGTTATCCGGAGGAGACACGCCATACAAAAAGGCAGCCACTTGCGTCCTGAGATCAGCCGCAGTGATGAAGGCACGCAAAATGTTCTTGGGCAAAACATAAGTGTAAGAGGCCGCGTCGTCCTTGACGTCATCGTTGGAGACGTAGATGTGCTGCAGTCGAAGAGGCAAGTGCGTGGCCGAAATCGCTCGCACACGCCAATCCGACTTGCTGCTGAACACAGTTTGCTCATAATTGGTCGCTACGCGCATCCGATCAGACTCAGCACGATTCCAGCACAAGTAATCACTCACTCGTTACCGTCTGAATGGCATCACCGTGCACATTGGTGGTCATCGTCTGCACAGCAGTCACTTGACTCTGCGCCTCAGAGCTCTTCTCCAACTCGGCCATCTGCTGCCTCTGAACGGAGGGGGCGGCAATCTCCTGGCCCAAGATGATATCTCGGATTTCGCTGACCGTCAGAGACGCGATGTTCACGCTGTTCCGCTTTCCAAAGTCGGCCAGGATCAGCTCCTTCATCGCCACTTCGACCTTGATCCAGTCCTCGTCTGTCAACGAGGGCCAGACAAAGTGCGGCTCGGTGATCGTCGACTTGTCCGGATGCAGGATAATCTTTGCCTTCTCGTTGTTCACATGCAAGCCACGAAGGAGCAAGATTAGACGCGAGAAGGCAGTGTAGCTCGAGATGGACTTGAGCCAGTCATCTGCAGCCAAACTCTCAGTTCCCATCGACGGCAAATAAGAAGACAAATGACCGCACCATAAAGACTGAAGAGAACCATCTGCGGCTGGGTTGCCCTCAAAATGAGATCACCGAATTTCTCCATCTTCATGCACGCTTGGAACGGCAACTGCAGTTCACTGCCCTTGATGACGATATTCGGGAAATCCAGCAGATGCACCTCAAGCGGATCTAACATGCCCTTCCGAGTCACGATGACTTGTTTGGGCTGCTCCTCCACCGGCAGAGACCGCACGAGTGCAGCCACTTCTTCAGCAGTCTTCCATTTCGCTAACTGTCCAAGTCGTTTCTGTCCAGCCCAGACACTCGTGTGGATAATCTTCAAGAAACACTGGCCCGAACGTGGGTTGAAGATGAAGATGGCACCGTCTGCACATGGAGGTCAGAGACACGGTCAGGGGCCGCAATAAATCACTGACTGATGGGCTTGGTGGTCAAGTTGCCCTCGAAGGTCTTGTGAATTGTGACACGGTACACGTTAGTGTCATCAACAAACCAGATGATCTGGTTAGAGAACAGCTCCGAGTAGTTCTATCGCCAGTGATCAGCAATGCACAGGAGACCATCACAGCACAACACACCTGACTATTCAGATACGGCTCCGTAGGCTCACTCGAATACAACTGCAGACCTTTCCTGATCCGCTCGCGCAACACATGACATGCCGGGTTGGCCTTCATGATCTTTGCCATGGCCTGCTGGATGAGCGGCTTCATTCCTGGGAACCAGTTGCCGTAAGCGCTCCACAGATTGTACGCCAGATCCATGCCGATCATCACACCCGTTGGCGACGGATAGATGCTCATGGAATCGGACACATAGTCCAAGAATTTGGCTCGGGTGTAACGCTCGATGTCGTGCGTGTCAAAGTCACCCCAACGCAGCTGAACGTCGATCCAGAACTTGTTGGACGTGGTCCCGTCGAGGACATCCTTGACGTCGGTAACCAACGACGGGCGGGAAATGTTCCACTTTTGTGCGGAGAACAGCAGAATATCGGCGCAGGACGAGTTCATCTTGTAACTCTTTCGAGGATGGATCGTCTCCTTCTGCACCGTCTCGATCTGTAGCGGCTCAAGCTCCTGATCGAACACCTGACATAGATCCATGACCACACTTTCGTGGACTAGAAGTTTTTTTAGAAATACGTTAAGTGCAGAAGATCCAGACACGCACTCTTCTGCCACAAATGAGCACGGAAAATTTGGATCAGACTGATCTTCAACGTCGGAATTTTTCCGTGCCTGCAAGCACACAGTTGGCGACTAGCCCGATGGCAGATGATTCACTCACATGAAGATACCCGTCAGATCCAGCTGGACCTGGAAACCCACATACACATTCGCTCGGTTGATTGTCGGGCTCCACCACAGCGTGAACCGACGATTAGGGATCTGGTTCAGACCCGAACGTTGTGCATTGGTCAGCTTTTTGTATCGCATCGATTCTTCGAAACCAGACGCTTTCTCCCAGAAAAGACCCTCCCAAGTAGGGAAGTAGGTCCCCTTGAACAAAGTGTGCTCGAGGATGCCCTCCACACCACCGAGTGCGGCGATCACATCCACGCGGTAGTTGTTGAGCTGCCACAGCTTTCCGTCGTGTCGCTGAGATGTCCACCAGAAGGGATTGTGCTTCAGCAGTTGGTATTGCTTCCAATCTGTCCGCACACGCCAGCCGCGATCGTACGCCAGGCTGAGGGACATTAAATCACAAGAGCTGACCACCAGACAATGTGACATACGTGTGACGATCCTTTTGGAACAGTGTGTTGATCCGGGGAATACCACGATCCCAGCTGTCTTCGAGATCCTCCAGAGTCAGCCGGCGGTTCTGCGCATTTGCTTCCTTGCGCTTCATCGAATACTCGGACCAGACTCGGGCAGAGTCTAAGAATTCGGCCTCCCACGGCTGCAGGTAACGGTACAGGTTGGGAATCAGTTGATCCTCCTCATGCGACATTCCGGCGCGGAAATGTGTGACTGTGACCAACGAGAGGTCAGCTCACAGCAACGGCGTCAGTACACAAACACACCAGCAACATCAGTTTGCTTTGACCATCGTAAATCACTCTGGGGGATAAGCACGTGACCCATTGAGAGCATACCCAGACCACCCAGCTCCTTGGGCGTATAGAACACCACGGGCGGGAAACGGGACGGCATCTTCGAGTTCAACCCAATCTTGACACGAGTCTGAATCTTGTTCTCAGCCTTGACGAGCGAGTCCAATAGCTCATTCGTGTGAATCACAGCCTCGCGGTAATAGGTCATCAGTCCTATCAGGGCAGTGTTCCACTTGTTGACAATTTTGGAGAACGTCGTTGACCCAGAGCTCATCAGGACCTGCCGGATTCGATTATTGAAAGCCTGAACACCATCATCTGAGACACGTAAGAACGCTTGTGCGGTGCGTTCCTTGGTCTGCTCGTTGGTCAAGTTCCACACGGCGTCCTTGAGCGAGAACTGTTCTCCGCCGATGGTGCGAATCTTGGGTAAAATCCGGATTTCGAAGCCGCACATCGAGAACAAAAGTTGTGGGTTGTTCTGCGAATAGACGCTGACGAATGTATCCTCCCATTCGATAGTCGTCAGGGATCTTGGCAGACTCTGCTTGACATTCCAGAACACAGCACGACCGAGGTTCACATCGTGCTTGATCAAGCGCATGCGACAATCTCTGGGCCAGCACTTCTTGTTGTTGTATCCGATTACGTTGTTGTTCGTCGGATCTGGGTTCGCTGAGAGGTACCGTTGGATCAAGTCCCGTGATTCGTCTGCTGTGAACCGGAAGAGGATGTGCAAACGATCCACGTATCGGGAATACAATCGAATGGGATGATGCGTCTCCGTTTCCGAGTCCCGGTACTGCAAAAAGTTGTTGGGCATCGTCGGTGGGCCAGCCATCTCGCTCGCTCGCTTGAGACCGAGAATGAGCAGATCTAGCACCAAGCCGTAGTACTGGAAGACGAAGGCAGAGAACTGCAGTCCACGAATCAGGCCGAAGGCATTGGTGTGTGCCATGTCTGGGCAAGGCATCAGCTGCAGTTTCTTTTCGGTCCTAGACACAACGCACCCTTGTATGTGAGCACAGTGTTGTTCTTTGCAGTGATGTAGTCCGCCAAATTGTGGTCCAGAATGAGCCGCAAAAGTCGGTTGAGCAGCGTCAGATCAATCTTCTCATACACCTTGGACAGCACCGTTTCCATCAGAACATTGCATTCGCCCTCGCTCGTCTCCCAGATGTCGGTCAAATTGTTGATTCCCTGGCACCATTTGTAGACCAACAACGGAGGTGGCTCTGTGTCAGCCGGTTTGATCCAAGCGGGGAACAGTCCACGTTTGTCAGCTCTGGACATGATCAGACAGGAGCTACACTGAAGTGGACTGGACTCACTCGAAGAACAAGAACTGATCGAGATACTGATGACGGTCCATCAACACTTTTGATAGTCTGCAGGAACAGAACACTTACGGCGTCAGTGATCTTTTCGACGGGCTCGATATCGTAACAGGGGATGAGCTTGTCGTAAGTATCAAAGAACTCGATTCCGGCCTCCTTGAAGGCACGCTGGGTCAACAAAAGACGTTTGATACGGGACAAGCCTGGAAGAGTTCAGCATGCTGTCAGGGAGCGACGATCAACACATACACTCGTGAGGGTTGTCATATGCCTGTTCAATCAAGGCAAGTTCTTCACGCTGCGACTGATTGAGACGGCCCTTCACTGAATAGGCCTCCTTAAGCTTTTCCAGCGCCAACACGAGCAGCTTCGTGTCGTGTTTGTACGACAGTGGCCTGGAAAACTTATCAACCGAAGGCCGAGTGTACGAAGCATGGAGCACTCACGGGAAAGGGATGGGTGCAAACTTGCGACTTTCGAGCCAGTGGACAGTGGCGGTGTAGATCGCGACCGCTTCTTCGGCACTAATATACGGTCCATCCTTGAGATAACCGTGCTGCCGCTCTTGCTCTGCTTTGAGATACAGCCGGGTCAGCCGACCCAAGTTCTTTTTCACAACGGCCTTGTCGACAGTGGCGCCACGACGGATGCGCTCTCGGTTGTAGTGGGCGACAGAGCACCACCAATCTGCTTTGCTCTTGATGTAGCGCAGGATGATATTCTCGATAGCAGTAGGCATTCCCGGCACCTTCCACGGGATGTTGGCTTTCCAGCATCGCCATGCCTCGGACAAATGCTGGAGGATCGTCTTTGTCTTGTTCTGCTTGATCGACTCGGGCATCATGTCCATGATATCGTGCATCACAGCAGCACGTAACTCCAAGTCGTATTGCGATTCCACTCGCTGCTTCGTCACTGTTTTGGCCACACCCTTGCTGTTACGACCTTCGAACTGTCGAGCAAGCAAGTTCCCGAGCCTGAAAACAATCAGCGAACGATCTCTCCAGGATCGAAAACACTAACCATCGCTCCAGAAGCGGCACGATCCCACGCATGAAGAACAACCAAACTCGCCAGCCCGGGGCCCAGAACCCGCAGCCCGGTCCCTTTCCGACAGGCCCCGTGTTGAACCGATAATAGATCAAGTGCTTCAGATCCTTGGTCATCCGAACCTGTCGCATGAGCTACAAGGTGATCAGCACGACGAAGGAAAAGGAAACATCAGGCAGCAAACCTTGTACTTGTATCGGTACATTCCTGTCAGGGCGCCAATATGAGCAAAGATGTATTGCAACGCGTCTGCAAGCTGGAACGCATCAACGTTCCCAAGTCGGAATTGCACGTGAGCATCGACAACGAGCTTTGTCAATCGCAGGATTTCACGACACAAGTGGAACGCGTTTCCGAATCGAGACTTCTTACGCTCCTTGGTGGTCAGCGTCCTGTATATCCATTAACTCGAACGAAGATCAATGAAACTTTACAAACGTACTTGACGGGTTTCAGGTTCATGTTGTAGTCCAAGTGCAGGTAGTTCAAGTTCTTATCACTGTGTGAGCGGGAAGAAAAGCAGCGAGCAAGAGAGTACCCACCTTCCGGTGGATCAAAAGATTCAGCATGTTGTAACCTTGTCGGCAGACCTGCAACCCAGCCTCAACCCAATCGAGCTTAGTGGTCTGGAAGAACTTGGTGCTCTTGAGCTGACGGAACAAGTTCTTCTTCGTCATTGCCTTCTCGGGTCGGGTGTGCAACTCATTCAGCACGTATGTCTTCAGCAGCTTTTGGTACGACACGCGCACTTTGACCGGCTGGTTGGGTGGACAGTGCTCAAGGTACCAGTTCTTCACGAGGGGAATATCCTGCGCACGACGCATGCGCCCAGAACGACGGTTGTACGGCTCGGGCGCCCACCAAAGAGCGATACCGTCTGCCGTGAGCTCGGTCTCCAAGTCCTTGTCGGCCAAGAAGGGCTCTGCATCTTCAGGCAACTGGAACGTGTCATCATCCGCGCCGTTGGGCCCAAAGATCGTATCCTCATGAGACACGAGAGGGGCATTCTTCGACATGTGGCCCCGCAGGGAAATGGGATTGATGAGCGGATCGAAGTAGAAGGCTGGAAGGTCGGGGTCATCCGTGCGAATGTAAACGCTCTTGGGTACGTGATACGGAGCAATATGAACTGAGCGTGGGAGCGAGTTGTAAAGATGAGGGAAGGCGACTTTGTATTCCGTGCGAATCTGCTGACGGATGATGACTTTGTTGATATCATTGAACTCGTTCCAGTCGTCGTCAAAGGTGTCCATGTCCCGGTACAACGGCTCAAATTTGGGTCCGCCGGGGATGGCCATGTTCAATGCCTTGGCAGAGAAGAATGCTTTCTTGTCGAACAGATAGGACGCATTCTTGTCGGGCTGATCCGACAACAGCGTCCGTCCCATCCGGTATAAGTTGGCCATGACCGGGAGAGACAAAGACCAGAACTTGTACGAGGACCCGTTCACTGACGGCGTGTCCACGAGGGGCTTGGGGTCGTAGAACCAGTCGATGATCGCCTCGTCCTCCTGAGGGTCCAGCTCGAATTGGATAGCCTCGAGCGGTTCAACATCTAGCACATTGTCCCCATAGTCCAACGGCGGCTCCTCGTCGTCAAAAGGCGGGAACCTCATCCGCTTGAAATGCCTTCGGTCACGTTTTTCTCTCCTCATTGCCATCCACATCGTACTCCATTGCGCATGATAGACCGGCTCAATGACGCGAGGATTTCGTTCACGAACGTGATAGCACCCGTGATGTGGTAAAGCACCGGAACCTCGCGGACCTGCTCCCAAGGATAAGGAATGTTCTCGAGTAGCTTCATCACCGCGTGCGGGACATACTTGAGCGCACCGAGGTGGACGCGTTTGTCGTTCCGGAACTTGCGGTTGCTCATGTCTCCATGGTCCTTGATGATTTTACGGACGTGCTCCGGGGGCAGATCCTGACACTAATGAGCAAGCGCGCCGCATACGACTCCCAATTGCACGCACCTGCTTGCCCATGTCAACGTAACCACCCTTCCTCTTCTCTCCATACCGCTTCCTCTGCATCTGGATCCATTTTTGTGACTTGTGAGCCACAGCTAACAGTTTTGTCAGTTATCCGTTTTGTCCACAAAAATCAAGTTTATGAAGCACCTTCTGGCGAAAGCTTGGAGCCAGAAGCCTGGTTTCCTGGGGGCATCCCAGGAGGAGGCGCGGGCGCAAATCCCGGGGGAGGCATGAAGCCTGGAGGCGGAGGTGGGTAGCTCATCGTCGTTCGTCGCAAAGACGCGGAGCCGCGATTAGGTAATGGAGGCTGAGCAAACAAGTCACGCATACACGTGATCTCGACTCGCTGACTAGACCGACATTTGAGCTCCCACTTATCACAGTCTCACAAGAAATAAGTCCAAGACGTACAGCAAAAATTGCACTGCACACGCGCCATCAAAAATGTATATGCTTTACAACTTACATAGATCACACATCGGAAAGTCCATGTACATACATGCGAGAAGGGTATAAGAGTCAGTCAGTAGATTAGTCGTAGATGGGCAGAGGGAGGAGCCTGGGCGGAGATGAGAAGGCTGCAGATAAGCTGACTATACAAACGCACCGGTCCGAGTTAAACAAGAAATTATTCGCGACATCCTCGCCTACCAACCGTCAGTCAGCGGAGACTTGCCTTGAAAAGGAGATGGATTACCTTCGAGAAAACGATTGGGGTACAAAACCAGATGTCCGTTGAGTTGTCCAAGCAGCTTCTCCATTTCATCACGCTCCCATCTCTCGAATGGCTCAGGGCCAGCTTGCGAGGTCTTCTCTTTCTTTTTGTCTGAGGCGTGTCCTTCACTGGTAGTTTCGTCTTCCTCGTTGGGCTTGTCCCGGCCGTCAGAAGAAGCGGCAGCAGCACCCTCCTCAGCAGTTTCCGATGGGACGACTGCAACGGCTTCTGGAGTCATTGCATCCCGCGGCTGAACACGTTAGCAAGAATCGTTTGAATGAGTGTTACACGCACTGGTTTGTTCAAGCGCTCGTGGTGAACGATGAACTCCTTGTACTGTTTCCAGGTCGTGATTAGATCATCGGGAATGGCATGGAACACTTTGCGGTAGATCTCAGTCTGTGCATGCATCATCAGCAATCGATGTCTCAAGGCCAACCAGTGCCCGAACATTGTGCGCCGCGGAAGAGACCCAGACTTCCTTCCAAAACTGGTCGCAGATAGGATCCTCGAAGGCGTCCTTGTCAACTTTGGGTCGCGGAACAGGCAACGCCCATGTCTTGCTCCCAAGTTTAGCAGCGAGATGTCTTCGAATGAGAGACCGAGCGTGAGGCGCTGTCCTCTCTTCGTCTGTAGCATCGTCGACATTGGAGCGAGCATGCGGCGGCTGATCGTCCGTCTTGGGATCCTGCGATGCATCTGCCGGTGCTCCGAACAGATCACCGTCTTCCGTCCTCGGTTGCTCCGGTTTGGACTCCCCGTCGTCGACTTGTGCATTACCACTGTCGTTTTCCTGGACTCCTTCCGCGACGCGTTCCTCGATTGGAGTTCCATCGGCATGCTCTTCCGCAGGTCGGTGCTCGAGCACCATCTTTTCCTCAAGCGTAGGAACGATGGCACTGGCGAATCCTGGCTCCTTGTTACCCTCTCGATCAAACATCATCCGCTCTTCGATGAGAGCATCATCCCCCGCGTTCTGCGCAGTAGACCGATCCACCAAGCCGATCTTTTTGAGCAACTTGGAAGTCGTGTGCGAGCTCGCCTCAGCGCTACCGTGGATCCCTGTAGAGGCTAAGAGAGCTCCGAATCAGACTGGCCATGTAGCGCACCTTGCTTGATGATACCATTCACGGTCCCCAAAATCCCGTGCAGCCCAGGCTCCGCGCGTGATTCTTTAACATACCCGTCATCTTCAGTCTCCGGAATCCATTTCTCTTGTTCGTGCTCCGGTTGGGACGGTTCGCGAGCCATCAAGTGCTCTTCGTCTAAGCTGTCCACATCGACACCGAGATGCTCCCTCATCAACCGAACGCGGAGACTGTGTGCAAAGCGGCCGACTTGGAACGGCTTGCCGGCCATCGTGCTGCGTATCTCATTGTAAGATGCACCTCGCTCTTTTGACAAAGAACGCACCCGTCGATCATATCTGTGTCCCGGATGACCGCAGCCAGCTCAGAGTCTCGGTCACCTCGCTGCGACCGTTCGTTGATGTTGGCACTGCCGATAATGACCAGCCGGTCATCGACGACACACACTTTGCCGTGAATGTACAGCTGGAAGGACGTCAGCAGAGCAATTCAAGCTGAACGTGAACAACTCACCTGCTCAGTGGTGAGAATATCGCCCGGAAGCTTGCCCCAGCTGCGCAGCGAGAAGATCGATATGTACTCGTCAGGCTGACAATGCGTGTCAGTTGGTTTCTCGCAAGCGGATCACAGACATACATCAATGCCCTCCTTTCTCAATCGAGCAAAGATTGAGTTGGGACCCCGGGCGATGGTCCGGTTTTGGCATTCGAGGATAATCCGAATCTGAGCCGCGATCAGTCTGGAGAAACAGGCAATCCACCTGAACGCACTGCACTGGCATCACCGTGGTCCACAGGGAACGTGAAGCCCGGCAACAAAGGAATGACGATACAGCAGCGCCAAGGCATGCCGTCATGGTGGGCCCTAATTATCCGCTGCACGATCGCATCCCCGATCCGGTTCTCGATCTTTTGGTCATTGACGACCGTGCTGCTTCCAAGTCAGGCAGCAGGCCAAGTTGGTCACGTGACCACTCACGATGTGATGAAAAACTGGTTCTCGATGTATACAAAATGCTCTGACAGTTGAATGGCTGTGGACGTTATCATCATAGGTCCGAGAGTCTCGGCGACGGCCAACTGACCTTTGAGATACGCATTCTGGATCGAATGCTCGGTTTTCTTGGTGCCCAGTGACCATGGCCCAGCAGATCGGCAAATCTGCATCTCGCAAGTCCCCGTCAGTTGCATGGCGGTCAATTCGCCGACTTTGAATTCTGGCGGCGGAAGCAAGAACGGCATAATCCGCGTGTGATTCTGCAAGGTGATCAACCATTAGTCATTACTCCACCTCGATCAGCGTCCCGCGAACCTTGTTGCGCAAAAGATAGTTCCATCTGGCGGGGATCAGTCTATAGCCCGGTGATTGATAACACAAATACCGTTGGACGAAATGTCTGCAAAGATCTCGGGCGGGCTGGCCCACCACCTGTAAGCCCACATCGTGCCTGGCAGGGTTAGGGTTTACGTTCTCTGATCCCCAAGCTCACTGACCAGGGCATTCGCGGAACCTTTGAACGGTCGTACATGTCTTCCTCCGGCTTGTTCAAAGTGTGGAAATCAACGACTCGAGGATTGCTATAGTCTTTGCCTGGGGTTCAGGGTAAGCAGGCGCCCTGATGGTTGGATATAACTTGCCGGGCCAAATCGTTGAATGCTCTTGCCCGCTCTCAGGATCTGCATCGTCGACAAGGACGTGTTGCGGTGTGTCCCAACTGCGGCAATGTCATCGGAAGAACGTAGGATTGTTTCACCCAACTGACCGGCCAAAGCACAGATCAAAGCCACCCATAAAGGCGATCGTCTGATCGATTACACACATTTTCTCGTGCTGAATTGACACTTGATCAGAATAGTTGAAAATGAGCGAAAGAGGACTTACGTGCGCCCAGTAGAAAGTCCCGGTCTGGAAATGCGACGGAGAACGCTGAACGAGAATGTTTGGGTGGAGAGATGTTAATCGTTGCTTGGCATAGCTGAACGAAACGAGTCAGAGGAGTTTCGTTCCGGAGCAGACCAATCTAACTCACTTGCTGTCAGTAGGAGTCGTGCGGCTGGAGACTTCCTGGCTGTGACAGGGCTCAATATCGAGCTGGCAAAATTGCACCATTCTTACTAGAGAATGACATAGATCTTCACGCCTTCTTTAGCCTTGCGCTCCAGCAAGCGATCCAGTCGATACCGGTCCTTGTTGGGTCTGCGCAATTGCAGCTCTGTGCTCTGTCAGCTACGTGATATGAACACATGTCGCTACGCACCGGGAGAAAGCCACCAGTCATGAATGTAGATCGATTCCCTCGCTAAGAGCAACGCCCGAGACAAATTCCAAAAGTAATCGCGCTGGAAAGACATGAGTTCATGCAGGAAGCAACTGAAAGAGACACACCCCATCGACCAGCCACTGAGCAGCGACATTCAGCCGGATGGGCGAAAAACTGTCAAACCTGTTTGGCTGGCAATACGGCGACGACTTGACTTTCTCGAGGGCTGTAATCCATTGCTTCATTTGCCTCTGATTCAATCGTATCGTTAGATCGTTCAGGAGTCGATGGACGTCAATACCTGATTGCGCGCAAAGAGCTTGAGCCTCTGCTGCGAGTTGACGATAAAGAATGTGTGCTTCGAGACACCTGCTGTAGGCTGTTTTCGTTTTCTCTTCTCCAGTTCATCAGGATGCCAGTCGCGTTCGACGTCCGACTGGTCGTCCTGCATGGGATCGACGTGCGTTGATGGATCTTGCATAGCTACAGGCTCAGCAGACATGTCGGAAGCGGCGGAGCTTCCAGAACTGGGGGAGGAGTGATTCTCCTCGTTCCCGTTCTGATCCCGTCGAGACGGGCGGGCGATTCGGGATATTGACCTACGAATAGAGCCCATCACACTTGGTTTAATTCTCTCGTCCGGTAGCATTCCATCAGGAGCTTCGTCCTCACTTTCACTCTCATTTGGGTGAAGAAATTTGAGGCCTTGACGGTAATATCGCCTAGGCCGCTCGATTTCGAAGTCAGCGTCGAGAAGAAACACATCCCAAACAGTCAGCTAGCCGTGTGTCATGTCAACAACATTAGAAGTGAAACCGGGCGTGGAAAAACAGACCTCGCCAGGTTCTTGCACTGCGACAATATAGCTGTCCCGCACTGAGCACCATTTCGGCTCCTTACGTTCCCTCCATGTCGCAGACTTGCGGCCAAATCCACCGCCAGTTTTGGTGGATTCGATTTGGAGGTAGCCAGCTTTCAGCTGCAAACCGCCCGAATTCGCCAGGTTCACAAACAAGGCACTGATTTCGAGGAAACTGGCCAGGCGATTCGCAGCTGGGTGGAACATCTATCCCAATGACTATCAGGCAAAGGGGGCTATCTGGATGACGAGGACGTACAACAGCGGCAATAAGATTGATGAGATATGTTTCCAAGTTGTCCCGTTGGATACGAGCAAAGTCTTTGGCACCGATGTCTTTGCCTTCCTTTTTGAGGAATTTGAAGTAGGGTAGACCTGGAAAAGGTCACGAACATCCGCAGAGATTTAGCGGTCAGTACTCACTGGTCTTGGGGAATTCAGGAAGGTCATCAACATTCCGATTATATGCATTCGAGAAGGCGTAGTGAGTGTGCAGTGAAATGAGGTCCCGTAACTGACGATATACAACCCAACGAACAGCGCCGTTGGCATATTCGCATTCGATTCTGAATACAGCCTTGTTTCCGTCCAAAGGATTCAGACTGTCGGACACACGGATGCGAGACGATGGAAGAGCACAGGAATACGTCTGTCGTCCTTCTCGTCGCGTTCGAACCACATGCGCAACATCAACGTCGACAATCCGCCAGTGATAAGTTCGTCCGTGATGTTGACAGTGGCAGGAGTGACACTGGAGGGAGGTTGACTTTCATTCTTGTGCGCCTGACTTGCTATGTGAGGCATAAGCGAGCGTAGACGCGCCCACTTTGGTGCGGTCTTCATGCGGATTTCTGGAGATGTCGAAGAACGGTAGACCCTAGAACGCGTTTCGCCAGGCTCTGCACCAGGAGCTGCTCCCTTGTCCTTATCTGTCGCCTGTGCTTCATCCTCCGCTTCGTTTGCTGCACCGGTAGTGGCTATAGCTGACCGATCGTCTTGCGACGAGTCGTGAAACAACCACCGCAACGGGTTCCAACTGTCGTCCATTGCACGACTCTCGCGCTTCTTTCCCTTCCTTTCCCAATCGGGCATTTCCAACATTTCTAACGGCGTTCGGAATCCATTTGCACGAGAAAACGATGATGGTAATATCCCATCTTCACGGGCATCGTCTTCTTCGTTTCCGGAGTACATGATGGACCCATTCCCGCCAATGGAGAGACAGAGAAAGATATCGAGCGCGGGGGACCTGTTCTATCCGAAGGCGTGTTCATGGACGAGTGACGATCAGGGACACGAGGGCGCGGGGAAGATGGAACAGACGTCGATGAGGAGTGCTGCGGTGGCTTTTTCGCTGCAACGGTTTCCACAGCGGCAATCAGAGCGTCCGCCATCGAGGATATTGAAGTTTCAGCAACAAGAACGAAGGATTGGACTGTTGTGCACCCGAAGCCAAAACAAAGTTGACTTATATGTACGCGTCAAGCTTGGAACTACGTCATGCCCTTCGGCTAGTGAACACCATCATTTGCCGCCGCGGCGCTCAATGAGCGCAACTCCACACAACACGCGTGATCGGGCTATCTTTTGGCCTTTCCAGGCATTTACTGTTTACAGTGTTGAAAGGGAGGTACGGAGACTGTCATTGATCATAAGCTGTCTGCCATTGCTGCACGGCTTTGGCTGACACAAACGGCATGAACTTGAAGTACCGGGAGGGCGACAAGCACGAAGCTTTGGGAGACACCACTGCAGGGTTCCTTGGCTTGTGTCTGACACGATTCGGCTAATGCTAACCTACAGGGCTTAGAGCTGCTCGAGCCGCCATCGCAGGATTCTTGTAGGCTGTGCTCTCGAGCTATCTACGATCATTCTCACACATATTGTATCGCAACTCGAAAGCTCTGGGATGGGAGCTGTCATTGAATGGCAAGCTCAGTTGCTGGCTACACAAGTGGATGAATGATGCGTATCACGCCTCGAAATCGACGGCGGTCACTTCATTACCTAAAGCCAAGGTACAGCAAACACGTGATTTCATCAACACTTCGCCCTGTCGTCGTCGGACTCCATCATCATCAGTTACTGTGAAAATACTTCCGGCCCGGAATCTGCCAATACTATTTGCAGAGCCCACAGAGGCAAGCGAGGCAGGCCGAGGTCGTTTTCACAAGTCAATGAATGCGTGGGCAAGTCCAGATCCGAAGCGGACATATAGCCAAGACAACGTTACACTCGCGCCCATGCTCGACTATGTATCAATCTCATTGAGGCCGCACTGACAGTACCACCGACGTCGACCTCGGCAGGAACCCGCGATTCGAAGCGCCCTGGCCTTGTGTCGACTGCAGAACTATTGATCCCAACCGCCAATCGCGTATGGAGAGGATCTCAAGCGCTCGACTGTCTCAGTTTTGTCTTCGATTGCTTGGGAAACTCCCTGACGGCCCGGTTCCTCCTTCAGCCGTGACGTCAGACATCAGCACACACTCCGCTTGCACGGTTCACTTCAATTGGACGCATCCAGGGCAAACGAATTCAAGGTCGCGGCCCAGCGACATCTTCAAAACATCCGGGCGTTCTCGAAGAAGCGAGCTATTGGCTTGCACCTTTTTACTTTTTGCGGAAACAGCTTCGTAGCATCTTCATTTCCTGGACTGACAGCGATGAAATCGGAGAACCGGGTAGGCATGCGTATTTGCAGATGGTCGGGCGCTTGGCAATGGCAAGCAGACGAAGAGACATGAACCGGCTGACCACCATATAGGCCCCGAAGGGCTGTTCCCAAGTTGGTTCGCCTTTTGATTCAATAGGGATCTCACGTGGTGACCTTGTCTCTCAAATGTTTCCCCACGCTTCCCCATGGCACATGGTGTCCCCAGTGGTTTTATGTCTGCTCGCGCGGACCGAAAGCCTCCGGTGGCCCGTGTAGAAATCAACAGCGAGCGTAAATATCTACCCATCTGTTTGAGCGAACTGGCAGTCATTTGTCAATGAGGCTCAGAAGCCATGTAGTTCACAATAACGCTGTCTCAACACGTTGCATTACATCAGGGCATGGACATTCGACACACCGTGCCAGCGCCGGTGTTGCCATCGAACGTAAAGAAGTTGGCGATGGGCGGATCCCGTGCGGCCAGCGTCTTCAAGATGTCCTGAGCCAGCATGCCACCGACAATCGCACAGACAGGCGAGAATTCGCATCCGGAGGTTTCGGACAGTGATCTGCAAAGAATGAGCACCTGTGCAGCGAAGAAGAAAAAAAGACTCACTGAGAAAGGTCCGGCGGAACAGCTGCCAGAACATTGGCCTTCACGTCCGCGGACGAGATCAACGAATTGGCGAGGGACTCGAGCTCTGATGCATCGGATGAGCTTCTCGGCAACTGGCCATGCAGTCTTTGGTATTCCCAGAGAGCTGGAGAAGAGGCTTCGGTCAGATATCGAACACCTGCGGCTAGAAGAAAATACCCAGTATCACGAAGACAACTGACGGATTCAATTCCTTAGTTTGTCTCTTTGTGAGGGCAGTCCATCGGTGCTTCAGCGCTTCAGACAACGGGGGATACACCGCCGTCGTCTTCACGCTCTTTTGCGCTTCCTTGGGCACTGAACGATCCTGTCTGGTTAGATGGCATCAATCCGCTCCCGTTCTCGTGCTCGAAGTAGAAGATATGCTCACGGTGCAACATAGTCGTGCGTCATCAAGTCACAAAATATATAGCCGACAAGCCCATAGGTGCCGCCGCAGTAGAAGGGCTTCCCCGCGCGACGGCAAGTATTGTTGAGGCGAATCTAACAGCAGCCTTGAAATTATTCCAGGGCCAGAAAAGCGCGTCAAAGTCGAGACGCACAAGACCATCTATGTCCCAATCTGTTATGCACACCAGATCGACGCCTGAAATGGTAGCGTCAAGCGCAGAATCCTCTAACCCGTCCAGGGACGCCACAGCCTCCACCGCCACAGACGGATTCAAACTTTCAATGCGTTCCTTCGCTGCTAAAACACGCTGCACGGGAGAACAACGCCGAGAAATCACCATTGTATATCCGCGATGGTCGAATCGAGGCATCTCACCTTTGTACCGACGTCGTCATCTCGAAAGAAGAAACCAGATCCCAGATCCTCCTCGGTGACTTCCTCAGCATCCATGATAATCAACTTGCCAATGCCGGACAAAACTATGTTTTTTATGAGTTCCGTCGCGGTTCCCTTGAGGCGAACGACTAAGATGGTTGCATTGCGCATCCTGTCCCACGCATCAGTCACTCTCTTCGGCGATCGATGCAGCGTTTCACGAGCCGTTGCTGTGCCTCGAAGCCCCATACTCGTATTTGACGGTCCAATCGTCCAACCTCTTCCTCAGTGAGTGTCGCGTTGACCATGGTGGGAAGCGAGCAAGACGCGGTACGATCATGTGACTGCGGGGTGTTTCCCACGCTCTCGCAACTCTATTTCTCGCGTCGGACATGGCATGCAACTACGCTGATTTAGCGTACATTATGGGTACAGTATACAATCCAGTGGATATAAATAGCAATACACGATAAACTGAACACGCGATACAAGGTGGGATATAGCGGGGGATAGATAAGTAAGTGTACGAAAGCAGCGCTGAAATCACGTCATCATGCTCATTCCCTAATAATCATTGGTCAGGAAAGCGGCCAAGGGCATGAGTGGGCCAGATGACTCACATCGCCTGAGGAGCCAGCATCTCGATCGTCGTCGAGGCTACAAAAGGGATTAGATATCGTCGAACAAGGCTTTCCGGAGCTGAACTAACAGATAATTCCGTTCGATTTCGGAAAGAATGCTAAGGAAGTCCCCTGAAACGACAGAATCAGCCAGATGGAGTGCAGGAAAGACATGGACCATACACAGGTAAGCATGTGCTCTTGCAGCTGAGGCCGGTGCCGTCTCAGCCTTCCGCACAGCATCGAGTAATGTGGACGCGACAAAGCGGACTTTGTGAACCAGACTCGGTCCGTTTGTGGCGATAGACTGGATGGGAATGCTGCAAAGATGGTCAAAAAAAACAGATAGGACCGATAGCAAGGATTGCACCTGTGGAGAATGTTGAGTAGGTCGCTGGCGACCGCTTCACGATCCTCGCCAACTTTTTGTTCATCGATGCTTCCATGAATGGACAATATCAGCTCGTCCCGATATTGCTCGATGACAAAGCGAACTAGTTGCTGCACATTGCTCAGTCGATGTTATAATGATGACATGGTGGCCGCTTACCTGGGTCACGTATATGTTTCCTTGGACGACAAGAAAGGGATTCAGGGCGTTCTCTCGTGAGGCATTAGGGTTATCGAAAAAGTCCTTCACTTCGGCAAAGGTGGCTTGCCGGAAGCCAGCGCCGCCATATTCAGCTGGCACGTTGTGTGAAAAAGAACGCTTCAGCCGGAGAGGCTCTGAGCAGTGCGCTAACGCCGACATGATCCGACCATGCAAGGACTGCACTTCTTCGAGCCGCGCAGTCGCAAACTGTCCTTGAGGAGGAGATCGCTTGTCGACACGGATTCTGACAAGAATTTCACCAAGCAAGGCGAAGATTCTCGACGTGTAATTCAGCCCAGAGACGATGGCTGAAGCTGTCTCATGAACTGTATACAGGAGCAACTAGTTCACGCGCACCTGTCTTGCCTTGCGGTTGAGGGAGATAAGCACTCGGAGTGATGCTGTAACCTGTGAGACGGATTTATAACCCCCGCCGAGAGAGACGCACTATTCATCGTCCAGTTCTTTGGGGAAATGCACTGTGCAATCTTCGTCTCGCAAAGAGATCGGCCTGCCGAGTAGGATGGACATGGACTTGTCGGCTGCAACGATGAGCAAAGCTAGCCAGCCACCGCAGAAAAACGATGTACCTCCGAACAAGAGCCAGAACACACGCCGCCTGACCTCGGATTCAATTGGGTCCATGCCTTCGTAAGCGGCCTCCTCGTGCAGTCGAAGAGTCATGGCGATGTGTGCAGCTTCCCCGAACGCAGCATGCTGTGTAGCATCATGACCTTCGCAGAAATGATATACACAGTCACTGCGGAGGAATTGAGCAGCTGAGACGGTGTGGGGGGAGTAACAGCAGCGACGAACAAGTATCGAATAACGACGTGCATCGAAGTAGGTGGATCGTAGGACGCTATCGTGATATGGCGACTCGCTTCGTGACATGTCTGTGGGCTTTGAATAAAAAGGACTGGCGAAAGTAGGATGGATCTACAGACCTGCGCCAGTTTGCGAACCACAGGACGTTCCATCGGCAGATACGAACGAGGCAGCTGAACCAACGTGGACGCAACCGTCGACATGACCAGCGCAAAAAACAGCGGGTCTCGCTCTTCTCTCCGAGCATGCAGGTCGGCCATGAACGATGGCTTGTGAATACACGGGGTCAAGGGATACACGAAGTCGAAGAAGAGAGCAATGATTAAGGAGATCGTATCGCGGGGAGCAATTTCGTCCAGCCGACGGGGTCGGTAATAGTATGAGAGGGGGGGACAACATTCGGAGGGTGGGAGGGGAGCGCCTGATGTTGTTTGTATGACCAGTTATAGAGGGGATACGTGCTGAACTGTTCCGACGGAGATTGGAATTCATCCAGTTTTGCGCTGTTGCCACCCAAGTTGAAGGTGTTCGAGGAGTGGAACGGGGGAGGAGAGTTGAACTGCGGGTGGAATGTATCGGCGGCGATCTGATACCTGGATGGCGGCACCGCGACAGAGTTCACGGACGGCTCGAGGAAATTAGAGGGAGGGCTTTTGGGGCCGAGCGTCGGGGAAACTACACTCTGCGTCGGACTGGCGATGGTGGAGACCGGGGATGCCGACTGCTCGGGCTCCGAAATCACGGGCTCGGTCGTCTCCCCGGTCGTGGATGCAGCGGCAGCGGCAGCCGCCGCCTCTTGGAGTCGACGCAAATAGCTGGGGAGTGCTGCTCGAATCCGTTTCGCCGAATAAGTCAAGACATACTCACAGATTCGGCGGCCCGCGCTTTTTCGGCTGATAATCGTATGTGCACGGGATACCCAAAGTAATGCAATGCTTGCAGGACTGCTTTGGGTCTTCCCCTTCTCGAGCGCACCGCACTTTACGCGCTCGACATGCGTCGCAGCCTGTTGCAGGATCAGAGACACGAAAGTACGCCTCGAATGATCGACGTACTCTGCGATTGCCGCCTGCGCAAGGAATACATGTTAGCACGCGCGATCCAAACGAAGGGGAAAACAAGAACAAGGTGGACATGGATAGCCGTCAAATGGTTGTGGGGGCGGGGCACAGGGGAGGTATGCAGGTGGCGATTGGGGAAGAATGTGGGGAAAGCAAAGACGGTTCGGGGTATCCTCGGAGTTAGAGAGACTCACTTTCGTTTACTTTTGGTGACAGAATCCTTGCTGTTGCTATTAGGGGAATCCTTCGAACAGACCTCCTCATCGGATGAAATGCTCTTGTTTTCTTTCTTTGGCCGCGAGACAGGCATTCGCAAGTGCGGGGCTGTTTGAGTAGTCTGGGGTAGCTAGGTGATCACGCACTCTTCGCCAGCCCTCATTTTATGGCCTGCCGATTGATCCTTCGATCCAATGATTATACTCTCTCTGGATCAGGCGAGCGCTGCTGAAAGCCTTCATCCCAATGTCCAAGTTACGATGGGTTGCAATCACGAGGTCCGAGAAGGGTCCCCCGGTCAATCTCCGGACTCTGGGCACGGCAGAGATTGGCATCTCGGCTGAAAGCGAACTTCTCAGCAATCCTCCCAGATCTTGCCAGATCGAGATGTCCGTTTTCGGCAGCTCTCGGGGTCTTTTGCCAGGTCAAAGCAAGATTATACAATGTTCTATCGTACGGCTGGAGTCCTTGCTCGCAGGTGAGAGATCATAGCCTGTCTCTGGTGATCTTTGATCCATCCCCTCTTGTGATGAGCGACCGTCGCATTGGAAATCCGTCCCCGCAAATAAGCTTGCTCGCGGTCGTGCCATCCCACACTTCTCGCCAACAGCAAATCCCAGAAACGGTATGCCATAACAGGGTCGTCCATTTCCAACGCCCGGAGGACGAGAAATTTGCCGATGTGTGGCGAGTTGACAACGGTCGAGCCGCCCACCGATTTGATGAGATTCATGACCCCCCGGAGCTTGGCCCGTTGGGTCAGTGGCGACTGAGTGTCAAACGAGAGACTGCCGCGAATCAGGGACACGATGGATTTGTAGGTCAAAAAACAGGTCCGGAGCCCCCGAATTTGCTTGACCATCTGCTGGACCAGGCCAGAGTCTCCGTGGCTCAGCGCATGGTGCATGATGGTCCCATACGTGATGCGATCGGGCTCGAGGCCCTTGTTCGCCATTCGCTCGACGAGCCCAGCCGCCGTGCGAGGGTCGTGTTCTGCGACAGCGGAAACGAGAACATTGATGTCAAAGACATCTGGTACTTCCCGCCGCTTGAGCATCATCTTGAGAACATTAATGCCGCGAACGTAATCGCCAGTCACGAAGCAGGCTCGCGTATACGAAGTGAGCACTCGGTGGTCCGCTGTCTCCAGTGGTTCGTGGGCAGCCGCAAAGCTCGTCAGCACGTGCTCCAAAATTCCACGAAAATCCTGTATCAATTGCGGCTCCGTGTCGTCGTCAGGGGGATAGGCCGACGCGGGGGCTAGTCTCATAGACTCCTGCTCACGCCGGATTAGGTGTTGCAAAAGGCTGACCATTCGCAGCATCGTGGTGGGATGCCCGCGGAATGCAGCCCCATCTCTAGGAGCTTGGGCATATCGGGTCCACAAATCTCTGGCAACGATCGCATGACCTTGGGAAGCGAGACCGCTGACTATGGCTGGGCGATGTTCCGGGGCAAGCGGAAGATTCAGAGCGTATATGTCCTCGCCCATGACTTTCGCAAGTGGGGAGTGCGACTCTAAAAGAGCCTTGGTGAGCCAGGGGATGGCCGTTCGGGACGGAGGAGGATAGCGATGCGTTTCAACGATTTGCGACCAGTGGGTAAAGGAAAACAGCTCGCGCGCGTCCTCGACATCGTTGATATCCTCTGCTGCAAGGTAGAACTGCCGAATGATACCGTTGGGGAGGGGTGCGATGTAATGCATTTGTACAATCAACGCTCGGCAAGCACGCAAGTCTCGCTGCAGCGGCTCATTCAAACAGCATAGATAGCGTCAATCGCCAAAGATATCACTGGCGGAGAGGGCGAAGAATCGAGGAGCGGTTTCAGCAGTTGGGCGGCTAACGGGTGCCAGCGCCAATGCAGACAGGCTCTGATGAGCGAGTAACGGACAATGCAATCGAACTCTTCCACTCCCGGGACTGTCTGCACTGCTTCTGAGGGAAGATTGCCACTCGCAACCAACATCCGAAAGAGCTTTAGAGCGTGCTCGTTTGCGGAAAGCTGGAGAAGCCTTTCGACATACGCAAAAGAGGCATGGATGAGATCGTCCGGCTGATACGCAAGGAGGGCAGATCCAGTCGGGGGTCGTAGATGATGAAAATGGGCCGACAGGATCCGGATCATGATGTTGGGAATGGAGTCTTCGGCGTTCACCGACACTGGTGACTCGCTCTCGGCCGCGTCGGCGAACGTCCGTAGAAGCACTGCGAGGTGTGGTACAGGGAGTCGTTTCAATGCCTGAAGCGAGGATTCAGCACGAGGGAAATAAGTTACGATGCGGGTGAGAATCGAAGAGTCTATGAGTGGAACTGCCGAAGAGGAGAGGATGGACAAGTACAACGATGAGCGCTGCGTCTCCGGACAGATCTCCAGGGCGTCTTGAAGTATCTGATTGACCAATCCAGCTAGCCTCTTTTCTGTGGCATCATCGAGCAGTCGGATGTACGCGGAGTTGGGTAGGGCTGCAAGAGACGAGCGGTCAACTAAGCGGACATGCCTGTATGCCTGCAAAATGGGTAAGGTTTTCACTTTATCCTTCCCCGCTTCAAGTTCGGATTCGTAGAGAGAGGGTGATTCCGGGGGAGTTGTAAGCAGCTGTAGGAGTGCGGCTGCACCCGGAGTGACACTAGGACGCGTCCGGATTTGACGACGGTGCCCAAGTTGGGCGCGTAAGGTACGGAGTTGTAAGGATGAAGCATAGTCGCGTTGGAGGGGTCGTGTAGATTCGAATTGAAACAAAATTCGCCGGCAAAGTAACATAAGTTAGCTGCAACTTGAGTGAGTTGCCACTTCATGGTCCCCCAGTCCGCCCTCGTACCACATGCCGCGCTGATCAGCTCTCTTTACAAACGCCAGCGTATGCGCGTTTGGCAGAGTTTATGTCAGTGCAGGATAAATGCAAGTTTCTTGTCTTGTTCTTCAAGCCGACCACGCTGGGACGAAAACTTTCGGGAGTCACGTGAGATACTGACGTCAATGATGGGTCGTGCGCGTGAGTGAGTGACTGTCCTAGCTTTGATTGAACACTACTTTCGTAAGTCGAGGGCATATGTAATTAGTAAGATCTAGAAGGGACGCAGAGGACCGGATCTTGCTGATCCTCATCTGCCTTAGAGCATCTCGTCCGGTGTCCCAACGTGTTTCCTCGCCTTCGCCCAACTGCTCCCCTCACGTTGGATCAGCCCGCCTTCGGGCTCAATACGAAACCGGGAGGTCACCTTGCAGCAAGTAAGACATGCGCAGAACGCAATCGGTTCGAGTCCCGGTCCTTGCTCGGTCGGCGTCGCGATTGGCTGCAAAGGCACTAATCCAATTCCAAACGCCGCCGGCCTCCGGGTCAAGTATGGCCAACAACTCATGAGTGGTCAAGTGTCCTCTGAAGTCTGGACTGGTTGATTTGAGAAGTCCCGGTGTTTTTTGCAGCCCGCTTGGCGCAAGAATAGTCTGAACCTAACATCCGGGTCGATTCTGATTTGCGTTGCGCCGGCCCCGTCGTCGACGCCGCGACTCGAGTTGGAGGCGCATATAATCGTTAGCAGTTAAGTTCCCATCAAAGCGCAAATACGCCACAGCAACGCGGTGCAGCGGTCACCGGTCGAGCGTCAGTGCCTGCTCTTCCAAATCTAGCAACTTGGAACTCGGCCGCAGAACAGGAACATGGGTGCGGGGCAATCCACCCAACAAGACTTTGGTCAGCCGACGTCCGCTGTCACGTTCCTGGTCTAATAGACTCCCCTCCTCAGCAGCGGCGCCACCCTCACACGCGCTCCATGTTCTCCGGGTTACACCAGACTCCCCAGCTTCCAAGACGGGTATCGAAGTATGTGTGGTCTTCTTGAAAGGATGCCGCCCCACTACCTCTCCCTGATCCTTGCTCAAATGAATACAGCCGTTATTCGATTTCGTTGTCGGATTTCAAGGCGATTCCCAGACTTCTCGGTCTCAGAATATCGACGCCTCATCTTTGGAGCGCATTGTCGAATCCCACGAGGGCCGCCCGCTTAATCTTCTTGTTTGGAACAGCAAAAGTCGGGAAACTCGAAGTTCGTCGTGAGAAGACGGAGGTCGCTTGCTTTGCTAACCCTGTCGTTGCCATGACCAGTCGTCCCGGTCGTACCCTCCCGGAGCTGGTCCGAAGGGGATGGGACTACGCAACCGTCACTGCTCGGTCTGAGTATGAGAATGTGTGAGGTACACATCTTGTTATCGTTGGAGAATACCCACTTGACCGACCGTTATGCAGCCGGAATTGGCGATGGACAATGTCTGGCACGTTCTAGATGTGCAAGTGCTCCACGACGTACAGCTCGTTGGTCACTCATGTGCTATCTCACAGGCTAGAAGGCTCCCCAGCTGAGAGTGCTGGTCTGGTCCCGTATGGCGGTAAGCTCCAGCCACCTTCGATGATCGTGTGTTGCTTAATCTCCAAGACTATATCACCGGCTGGTCTGGTGGAGTGCTGAGCTCCGAAAACGATTTCTATGAGCTCGTGGAAGCCGTTTGTATTTCCTCCCACGGTACTGACTGCACCATTGACACGGGTCGCAGCACGTGGAAAAACCCCTGCGTGTCTACGTATACTCGCATGTGAGTTTCTCGTCAACGCATCATATCTTGTATCTGAGCGATTCAAATAGGATTTTGAGTGCGGGTTCTCAGTCTTCATGATACGGCATTTTTTTTTACATCTCACGCAGCGCGCTGCGGGAAGTCATATTGGTACCGAATCGCTCATGGGGCGGTGAAGGTCTACTTGGTTGCGTGTTCGGGTTCGTTAAGGTTGTCTCTTGTTACTGTGGTAACTGACCGCCCCAGCTATGGCCTATTGCATCGGATTCCACCGCAGCCAATAGACCGTATCGGAGGCATTCTGACGCCACCTGAGTTGCAAGAGGCCGAGGACGACTACGAGGAACAGGATCTGTTTGTGCCTGCCGATGTCGCCCTGTACGAAGCGCCATTTCAAGCTCCCGCGCCGCTTCTGGCACCTGAGCATCTCAGCAGCCGGTCCACGCCAGTTGCGTCCGTCAGGGAAGAGAGTAGCGGTGACGAGGACGATGACGACGTTGCCACTACAATCGGGAGCACACCGCCCTTGCCGCATCGAGCAGTGTCGTTGGGTGCTTTCCGCGGTGGGTGACATTTGTTGCGCTGTCAGTACGTACCGTACCAACCCACGATGCAGCAAGCCCAACACCCGTCTTTCCGTCACATCTGTCCAGGACAGCGAATGCCGCGAGCGACGAAGAACCGAGTACACCGGACACGGATAATTCAAGTCTGACCAGTGTCGATTAGCACGGCATGTCATTCCAGCATAAGGTAGTCCGTGGGGTTTACAACGGTTTACACTTGAGATTACAGATTATATCCAAAAAAGCAAAGATCTATGACATCGTGACAATTCCTAGTGAAATGACCGAGCCGTGACGAGACAGCGAGAACAGCTTGGATCCCTCGGTGTCTGGGGGCGGCGTGGGCGGGCGGTCCACATCCTTGACTGAAATCTGTCGAGAGCCTCTTCTCGGCGGAGGGAGCAGCGAGGGAACTTCGTAAGGCACCATTTCATCGGCAGCCTGCAGGGGCGTCAAGGGCCGGAGCACAGGCGTCGAAGCTCTCGAGATCTGCAGGAAACTGGGGTCGTTCTGCGTGTGCCACTGAATGATTTTCTCGCCGATGGGCGTCCCTGGCACCGGAGGTGTGGCTGGCACGTGACTGGAGATAGCTTGCGGTTCGGGCGTGGTCGGAGTGGACGGAACGGAAGCAGAGAGCAAGCTAGCAAGCGCCATGTGGCGGGCCCAGTTCTGCCGCGGGGCATCCATGCTCGTCGGCCGGGGACTGACAATCACTGGCTCCGGCTGTGGTGCTGGTGGTGCGCTGAGAATTCGGAGCCTTTGTTTCAGCTTCGACGGATTCGCTCGGCCGCCGGGGGTCGGAGGCAGAGGTCCTCGGGGAGGGGGGCCGGCAGGTGAAGCAGGAATAGCATGCAGACTGCTCCCGGTGCTGTGATTGCTAGTCTTGAAGAAGCTGCTCGCCCTTGCGATGCCGTTGCCGGCGCCGCTGTTGCTGTGGGTGCGTCGGTGCTTCGGAGGCTCAGGAAGGGTGCCGGACGGTGGAGGCTTGGGTGCTGCGAGTGAAAGCCGCAGAGCACGATGGGTGACAGCCATCGATTCGCGGAAATCCGTTGAGGCTTGGGTGCTGCCGTGTGACAGTGACGTCGAACGAATGACGGCCCGTCCACCGCCATCCGGGGCCGGGGGGAGTGCTCCCGTTGGTGCTGGTCGGGGAGGAGGAGGCATCGACGTCCGCATGCCATGCCGCGTGGCAGTGACATTCACGCTGCTGCCGGTGCTCCGGGTGCTGCCGAGGCTACCGACGCTGATCACCGATGCGCGCTTGCCACGCCACGCCTTGAATGATCCGCCGCCTGTCGAGCCCGTTGGCGGGCCGCTCACGGAGCCAAACGACCGCCCACTGGCCCGACTCGGCGCCCGTTCGCCACTGGATTCCCGCGGCGACGCAGAGGCATACGGATGTGACCGCGAGGCCGGCACCGGTGGCGGCGGGACGCTTGGAGGTGTCAGACGCCGCGGCAACAGCGAGGACCGCCGCCTGCTTGTCGGTGTCGAACCATTCCCGCTCACGCTGGATGCGCGTGACCTGTGGCCGTCGCTGACACCATCTTCCTCGCGCAAGCTCGGCGTCTCCGTCCGTACACCAAAACTGCCTGCGGTGCCGCTACTTCCGCTGGCGTGAGGGTGTACATAGATGCTCGGATTCTCGTCGACTCGCAAGCTTTCTGGTTCAACACCTGTCCAACGCCGCAATATATGTGTTCTTGGGGCTGGTTGCAGGCCGTTTTCAGAGAAGGACATCGTCGTTCGCCGCAGAGGCTCGCTCGGGACGAGGGGAGACCCCGAACGCAGCTCGACACTGGCCCGCTCGACCGTGTCGCGCTCACTTTCACTCTCAACAATCTTCCGGCCTAGTATACCCGCATTGGTCGTATGCGATCCGGCCAGCAGGCTCCCCATGCGGGCGAACGAACCCTCCTCGGTGTGCGCGTATCGCGACGACGTCCCACTCCCCATCGAGCTGACGGATGCAGCAGACGAACTGCGCGGTCGTGACCGTGACCCAGGAGTGAAGAGGCCCTTGAGTGCGGAAACCCCTGTTTTCGGTGACGAGGGCACCTGTGACCGTGCCTGTGAATGTGACGACGACTGTTGCGAGTGTTGACCGGCCGGAGCTGTCGCGACTGAGCGCACGGAAGATGCCGAGGGCGCTAGCGATGCCGCATAGGTGCCAGTTGGGGAGGTCGGAGTCGGCGGAGGATGACCAAATGAGTGTTTGGGGGTATGATTTGAATTTGCCGCAATCCGCATAGAGAGCATCACATCCATATCGCCGCGGGGTTCAGATGCAGAATTGATATGGGCCAGCAGAGGAGGAAGACCGGCGCGTCGTGACCTGGGACATCTTAAATTGATTCCAGCCCGTGTGTAATGACACGCACCGTTGATCCAAGATCGTTGTCTTGATGGCGGATATCCAGTGTTGCGCGTCAGCCGAGGTGGGGAAATGGACGAGCCACACTGTGCGGCCGTCTTCCATGGTATTGAGGCTGCTAGAGCGCCGCACGCCGGCATCTGCACCAGCCACTTTAACGACGTGCGACAAGTCGAGTGAAGGCGAGCTGCCCGTCATCGGTGGCACGGCATCTGCCTGATTCAATACATGCACTTGGCTGTCCGCATTTATCTCCAACCGCTCGTACTCGCGTTCGTCGTGACTGTTGCCTTTGAAGAGATGCAGATGCGAAACAGAGCCGGAGGGCACGGAAAGGAGGATATAGCGGACTTTCCACTGCTTTGAGAGAGCGAAAATGCGGAGAGAACTAGGTGGATAGAACTTGGGCCATGTACCATCCAGCACAATGTAGGGTGCTAGGGCCTCGGGTGACGACGGGAAGCGCGGTAATGGCGGCAACTCCTCCACGGTAAGATGTGCCTGTTCTTGCTCTTCTGGAAGAGCTTCAGCCTGCTGTTGCTCGTTTTCCAGTAATGGTCCAAGTCCGAGAGATTGCGCCGCTGCATCCCGGAGTCTCTGCCGCTCCTCGAGCTCCTCGTCGCGCGCAGGGGCGCTGATGTCGATGACATGCGGAATCGAGAACTGGACGGGCGGAGGGGGTTGCCGCAGAGACGTCCGTCTCCGGGAGAATCGAAAGGACGAAAGGACGTCTGAGGCCTGCACAAGCAGGCTCGTCCGCCGCTGGCTCATGCAAGAGAAAGAGAATACGAAGACAAGCGCCAGAATCGTTTACGGCAGCACAAAATTAATTCGCAATCAGCCGCCGGCAATCACCACCAACTCCTGAAAAGTCAACTTCGTTCCTGTTGTACCTCCTCCTCTCTGCTGACCCTACGTACAACCCTCTCTCATGCTCGCATGGATATCAAGACTCCCGTCCCTTTTTCGCATAACTCTCGCTATCCGAGTTCTTGCCCACATACTCAGGGTTTAGTCTGCCCAACCTTCGTTCCCGGCATCCATCATGATCACTTCGGTGTCACTGACATAAGATATAGCATTCGAGGCTCTTATAAATACATGCAACACAGCAAGTCGAAAGCAAAGCACAATGTAATCAGACCTTATTCTTCCTCTTCCTGTTCCTCTTCTCCAATTCTGTGTCCATGTCAGCGCCGTCTGGAAAGAGTAGTTCAAGAAACCAACCCACGTCGCATCTTGATACTGCTGATATTCTGCGACCAAATCATGCATGTTGGATTCTGCTTCCGTGAACTGATTGATGGAAAGCATCAGCACCAGCGAGTAAAGAGGTGTTCCGATGCTGACCTCCATCTCATCCATGCCTTCACTTGTGTACCAATGGAGAAAGGCTTTCCTCCGGAACATGACCTTGAATTGTTCCGCAATCCGCTTGAAGACATCTTGGATTGCGGTCGAATTGGCAATAAACGTCGCGGACATCTTTCTCCCTTTAGGCGCAATGTCACAGTGCGCGGATAGCACGTTGTTCGGAATCCATTCGATGAAATACGCGCTGTTCACATTCTGGACCTTCTGCACTTCATCCTCGATATCTTTCATCGCGATTTTGCCGCGGAAGAATGCAGCAACCGTCAAGAAGCGGCCCTGGCGAGGATCAGCGGCTGTCATCATGTTCTTGGCGTCAAACATCTGCGAGACTAGTTCATGCACCGTCACAGCACGATACTGGGCACTTCCGCTGGGCGTCAGCGGCGCGATTCCGGTCATGAAGAAGTGCAGACGGGGAAAGGGGACTGCAGACACGCAATCAGTTGACCAGTCCCTCGACCTCGATCAAACCCATACCAAGGTTGACCGCAAGCTTCCGCAAGTCAGAGTTGAGCTGACCCGGAAATCGGAGGCAGGTCGTGATCCCCGACATGACCGTCGAGACCAACCCGTTTAGGTCATCGTGCGTCGGCGACGAGAGCTTCAGAGTGCGGAAGCAAATATCGTAGAGGGCCTCGTTGTCGATACAGAAGGTCTCATCTGCATTCTCTACCAGTTGGTGCACTGACAGAACAGCGTTGTATGGCTGCACTAGAATTGGTCTCAGCCTTCGGAGGCATAAACAATATCGCACCTCGACCACCGTATCCGACACCTTGGGGCTTGGAAGGACCGAAAACGTGCACATCATTCGATCGGGATATTCTTCGCGGATCTTGGATATAAGCAAAGTGCCCATGCCGGATCCCGTCCCTCCACCCAACGAATGAGCCATCTGGAACCCTTGGACCCTCAGTCAGCAACGTCTGCATGATTCCGTCGCCAACACACCTTGTAATGAGTCGCAGCCTTCCGCCTCACGTCGCAGCACATCCAGGACCTGGTCAACCAACTCCGCTCCCTCGGTGTAGTCTGAAGATCGTTTTGAGCATCCTGCTCAACCAAAGCAAACAGAGCACATACGTCCTTTGGCCCAGTTGTTGCCAGCACCGCTGGCACCAAAAATGAAATTGTCTGGACGGAAGAGTGAACCCAGCGGCCCGGACCGGACAGCATCCATCGTTCCAGGCTCTAGGTCCACCAAGACTGCGCGCGGAACATAACGGCTGGCTCCCACCTCGTTGTAGTAGACCGAAATACGTTGTAACTGTAAATCTTGTGTCGCCACATCACTGAATCTGGGAAGAGAATGAGCACTGAGAACTAACCTGATTTTCACCTTTACCCTTGTGCGGCAAAATGCCCTGACCTATCCAGTCCGTGTTCTTCTGAGACCGTTTCCCAGAAACGCGAACCTATGCACATCAGTCCCACAGTCCCCCCTCGTCTCGAAGACTTGGTGTACCAATTTGGTTCCCGCACTGGGTGAATCAGCTCAGCATAGCATCCACATCGACCCTCGCCAATC